CCCGGGGAGGAAAGGGCCCCCACCCCCACCCTGTGATCCCAGGACTGGGGAGCTCAGGTTACAAGCCGGCAGGTGCCACCAGGAACCACCCTGATCCAGAACCTGCCAGCGGGAGATGACCTTCCCAGCCCCGGGCACCGCACGTGAGCCGCCCCGCCCGCCCCCGAAGGCGCCCAGCTGCAGGGCAGTGTGCCCGTGGCCTCAGGGAGGCTCAGGAGAGGCCGGGCCGGGGGCTGGGAAGCCGCAGTGCGGAGGGAGGAGGCACAGCAGCGTGGCTGGCCGCAGTCCCCACAACGCCCCACATCCTGGCTCGGCCCAGGCATCCAGGGGCATCCAGGCAGACGGGAGGCTCACGGGGCCTGGGGAGGGAGGGAGGGCCCTTCTCAGCCGCCTGGCCCCCACCAGCAGCCCTGGGCCCACACCCCTGGGTGAGGGGGGTGCGTGTCCCCCGCATTAGCAAGCTGCGTGACCCCAAGGACCCACCCACCGACTCAGACCCGGCCTGTGGACCCCTGCAGAGAGGGGCAGGACGGGGCACAGCACACGCACCACCCCACCTGGCCTTCTCAGCCCAGGACCCTCGGGGACCTTATCGCTTATTTTCATTCAAAAATGATTAAACAACCAAAAACTTCCTGCCTGCCACCCCTACCGCACCCCGGGGTGAGCAGGGGGACCCCGCTTGCTCGTGGCCTCCCTCCCTGAAGCCGCCCTGGCCAGTCTGTCTTGTTGCCCACTTTCAGCAGTGCTGCCTGCTGCGGGGACAAGCTCGTGCCCTGAGCCCACATTAAATAAATAAAACCCAGTCGCCTGGGAACAGGGTCCCGGGCCAGGCGCCCCCCCCAGCACCCCTGCTGTCCCCCCCGCAGACTGCAGAGCACTTCCTGGGAAGCAGCCCCCCGCTGCCAGCCGTGGGCTCACCCTCCCAGGGGGTCACTACGCGGAGCCTGGAGTGGCACCAATCCGGGTTCGGACCCTGCCCCCGGGGGGCCCCGGGACAAGGGCCGTGTGGCCGGGGCCGCACCGGGGGAGCTGCAGTGGCCATGTGCACCCCCCTGAAAAGGCCGGGAGGCCTGTGGACGCCCGCCAAGGCGGCCCAACTTTGAGGCCCAGGCCCAGCAGAGGCCTTGATAAGAGCACCCAGGATGAGGCCAGTGAGGCCCAGGCCCCCACCCCGTGCCAAGGGCAGCCAGAACATTCCAGCGCAGCCCGGGAGGTGCCGTGCCTTCATGGGGCTGACGCAGGACCTTGAGCCCCGATCCAGGATATGGGGGGGCAGCAGCCCCACTGCTGGCTGCGGGCCGGGCCTGCTCACGGCATGTTCTACCCTGCTCAGCCAGTGAGATAGGGCCGGGTCTCTCCTGGCACACCGAGGCCAACTGCCCAGCAGGTGCCAGGGCAGGGAGCAGCCAGGAACACGCACAGGGCTCCTGAAACCCTCCTGGCCCCACACTCCGAAGGCCCTGGGCCACCTTCCCTGGCCCCCCCGGCAGCTGCCAGCGGGATCCTCAGCCACTGAGCTGTCCATGGCTCCCTGGCGCTCCCGGCCCCTCCCACCTGCCCGCCCGGCCACTTGTCCACCCACCACCCACTCGTCCACCACTGCGGCCTTCATCTCCCCTGTCCACGTGCCCACCGTCCACCGTCTATCTGCCCACTGCCCCTTGGCCAGAGCACCTCTGCCCAGGGGCCAGCACTGGCCAAGGTGGCAGCCACAGGCTCCAACCCCTGTGGCTCGGGGGCCCGGACCAGGCTGCAGGCCAGAGCAGCCGCATCTGGCCTCAAGAAGCCAGGTCAGACCCGAGGCCTCAGGCTTGGGCCAGGCCACTCTGGGCCTCGCATGCCCAGTGTCAGGGAAGCCCCAGGCCCAGCACCAAATCCTGACTGGCCAGAGCCCCTCAGGACTAGCCAGGAGGGCCAGGGAGGGTGGCGGCCGGGGGCACAGGGAGGCCAGGCCCTGCGGAGGCTGCGTCCTGTGGGGACGGAGTCCCAGGTCCTCGAGGCCTGAGTGGCCATATGCACTGCCCGAGCCCGGGCCCTGGCCAAGACACGCACAGGCTCGCGCCAGCCGGCCACCGAGAGGGCTGCTGGGGGTCCTCGTGGGTGGTGCCTCGCCCAGCACGCTGGCCGCCCAGGGGCACATGAAGTAAGTTCGCCCCCACCCACAGCCCCCGAGGCGCTGGCTGCAGGCCGGGCTGTCCCAGAGGAGCCGTGGACAGGGGTGCAGACGCCACAGGGGTGCACGCTGCGGAGACTGAGCAGGCCGAGCCCCTTCCACCTGGGCCCCCTGGGCGCAAGACGGGGTAGGGTGGTGGTGAGGGGTCCATGGGCAGCAGGCTGAGCGGGGCCAGGCTCAGGGAAGGGACACAGAGAAGCGGGAGCCACGGCTGGGGAGCAGGCGGACGGGTCTGCAGGGCCTGAGCCTGGGGGCAGCCGGCAGCACCAGGCCAGAGGCGGCAAGCGGCCTGCGCGCTGGCCGCCCCGCTTTTGAAAGGCTTCAGACAAAGGCCGCTGCTCCCGCTCGTCAATGATTAACCAGCAGGTGCGCCCCACGGCCGCTGCGGTCTGGAGCCAGGCAGGGGGTCACGGGGCGGGGGCTGCACTCAGGCCGGCCCCCAGCCCCTCTTCTCAGCCGCACCCACGCGCGGGTCTGCGCAGCCCCCGAGGCAGCACTGTGCCCCTGCACCTGCGGGGGAAACTGAGGCAGAGGAGCGGCGGCGGGGGGGGGCCCACAGGAGGGGGGCTGCGGGGCCAGATGTGCAGTGGGGGGCAGGGAGGAGGCGCTGAGGAAGGCAGAGGCTCCCCTGGGGGGGAGGAGAGGGGTCCTCGGGCTCCGGTAACGATCCCCTCGCCAGGGGTGGGGGCAGCCTCCTTCCCGCCCCCTGAGGACTGGCGGAGCTGCTAGGGGTACCTGGCCCCGCTCCCACCTGCTCCTCGCCCCTGGCCCGCCCCCGCTTGCCTCGCCCCGGCCTGGCCCGGAAGAGGACTGCGGGCACGGGGGCAGGAAGCGGGAGCAGGCAGGGCGTCCTGCTCCTTGACCCCGGCGCACAGGAAGGGCCAGAGCGGGGTTCCCCACGAGGAGGGAGCAGGATATCCTGGCTGCTTCCCCAGCGACCTGGCGAGCAGGCCGGCGGGTCACCCACCACGGGGCCGGGCCCGACTTCTCGGCCGGAAGCCCGGCCAGGCCTCGGGTCACGAGGACGCCTGCCCGCTGGCCTCCCTGCCCGCCTCACCACGGCGGCGCTGGGGCGCGCTTGCAGCGACTGCGGGGCCAGGGCACACCATCCGCCCCGTCCAGGGGCTGCGGGCAGCGGCCGTGCCGTCCCCACCTGGAGGCCAGCTGCCCTCGAGAGGCTGCGAGACGCCACAGCTGGCCCTGCCAACCTCCAGGAGCCAGCGGGGCCGAGGGCAGCCTCCCGGGCCCCAGCCAGCCTGCCCCCCACCCCGGCCAGGGTCGGCCTCTGGCCCCCCGCACGGGGGACGGGCAGGTGTCCACCCCCGGGTCACACGGCCGCCCACCCTGAGACGCGTCCCTCCCCGCTCCAGCCCCGGCCGCGGTCGGCCTGTCCCGCAGCTGTCCCACCAGCCCCGGAGCCAAGCGACGGCCAGCTCCGCTGAGCAAACTTCCGAGCGCCAGGCAGCCAGAGCAGGAAGAACAGCGGCGCAAGCAGGGACTTCCTCTCGGGCCGGCCCCTTCCTCGCGCCCAGTGCGCCCGCCACCGCCCGCCTGCACCCCGGCCGCCTCCGCCCCGGCCCAGCGGCACTGCCGGCCGCCTGGGCTGCCCCCAGGGCTGGCGCTGGTGCTCGGGCGGCTGGGCAGGGCCTTCTCCGGACCTGGCCTCTTCCACCCTTGAGCATCTCTGGGAGTCTGAGGCCCAGCAGGCCCCCCAAGGAGGAGGAGGAGGCAGGTGGCCAGGTGGGCCCTCGGCGGCTGCTCCGGCCACTGCACAGGGGCTCGCCCCGAGACCAGGCAGGGACCCCACAGACCACCCCCGCTCGGGCCCCCTCAGACACCCGGCCAGGAGGTGGGGGAGCCGTGACCCCTGCAGGGCTTGGGACCCGACACTGCCCGCTGCGAGGACGACCAGTCCCTCCAGGACCACTGCACCCAGCGGAGCAACAGGGAGCAGCCGCCTCTCCTCCCCACGAGGAGGCCCCAGGCAGCAGGGCCAGACGCCACTGTCCCCTGGGGCTGAGCTCCGCGGCGAGGATCAGGGCCCTGATGCCACAGCTGGCCTCGGCGCAAGGACCAGCACCCACTACAGGACACAGGAGGCCACCCCTGGGTGCACCGCCGGGCGGCAGCCCCCAGCCACACCACACCGAGGCCGCTGGCCGGCAGCCAGGAAGCAGGACTGTGGGGGCGGCCTTAGAGGTGACCTCCTCGTGCCCCTGCCCTGACCAAAGGCAGCGCCCTGCCCTGCTCGGGCACGCGCCACAGCCACAGCGCCCGGCTGGCTGGGGCAGGTGCCCCCCGCGGGCCTGCCTCCCCTGATGGACGGCAGGAAGCTGGTCCTCCAGGTCTTCACGGGCTAACTCGGTTCGCGGCACGACCGCACGAGCATCCGGGCTGCCCGGCCGGCCCTCAGCAAGCCCCGGGCCCTGCCGGCCTGCAGGGCAGTCCCGCCCGGGCTGACCAGGGATGCCCCATGGCGGGCCTGCAGGGAGCCCAGGGTGGGCGCGGTTGCTGCGCCAGCAGGACCCAGGCCCTGCCCTCCTGGGGATTCTCCCCCTCGCCCCAGGGCCCGCCCCGGGCACACCGGCTTCCCAGAAGGATTAGCACCCGGACCGTCCCTCCCGAGGAGTGGAGCCAACTTCTGGCTGGCACCCCTCGCCAGCGGCCTCCCTCCTGGCACACATGCCTGGGCAGGCGCGGGGCGCTCCCCTCCCCCTCCCAGGAGTCCCTCCAGGGTGGGCCCGCATGGCCCCGCGCCTGCCCTGGGCCTGGCCCGCGCGCGCCGGGGGGCGGGCCGGGCGGCAGGTGGGGCGCCCGCACTCACACGGCGAAGTGGTAGCCGAAGCAGCGCCAGCCCGAGGGCCGCTCCAGGAAGTTGTAGACGCGGCCCTGGAGGTGGGAGCGCGCGAGCAGCGGGCGCCGCGCGCTGTAGATGGAGACGCGCGGGTCGAGGCTCACCGGCGGCCGCGCGCCCGGGTCGCCCAAGGCCGGGGGCGCGGGGGGCGCGGGGGGCGCGGGCCCCGGGACGCCGGGGGGCGCGACGGGCGCGTAGAGCGCGCTGCCCGGCGCGCCGCCCTCGTCCAGCTCCAGCGCGCAGGGGCACTTCTTGGCGGGGCCCGCGCTGCCCCGCGGGGCGCCCGGCAGGCGGCCCAGGCCCCAGCGCTTCCTCTCGGCCCCGGGCGGGGGCGCGGCCGAGGCCATGGCCAGCGGGCCGCGGGGACCGAGCGGCGACGGCGGGCGCCGGGGTGCAGTGCGCGCCTCGGCTGCCAGCCCCGCCGCGGGGGGCCGCTGCCCGCCCCGCCCGGGCGCGGGGGGCGGGGCCGCGGCCCGGAGCAGGTCCCCGGGGAGACGCGCCCCGCCCCCGGACGCCCAGCCCCGGACCAACCCGCGCGCCCCGGGCGCAGGGCTGCGAGCCGGCCGGCCCGACCCGGCTCACCTGCGGCGCCGCCCGCCCGCCCCGGGGCCGCCCGCGGCCACCTGCGCGCCCACCTGCGCGCCCACCTGCGCGCCCGCCCGGCCCCACCTGCACCCGCGCGCGCCCAGCCCACCGCCCCCCCTGGTGCCCCGCGCAGGGAGGGAAGAGCCGGCCCCGCGCCAGCCTGAGACGTGCGGGGATGGGAGGGCGGGCGGGCTCCCCGGGACACCCGCGCGCCCCCGGCCCAGGCGGAGCCCGGGAGTGCCCGGCGAGTGCCCGGCGCGTCCGGGTCAGAAACCACCCAGGAGCGCGTGGGCGGGGAACGCGGCGCTGGGGGTGGGCAGCGCGCCGGGTGGCGCGTTTGACCCGGGTCATGGGGCGGGGCTGCCCGGGCAGGTTAGGGGACCGGATCTGCCTTGCCCCTGGGGCGTGTGGACGGGGGCGTCCGGTCCCCCCAAAGGCCCATGGTGAGGCCCTGGACGGGGCGGGCCACGGAGGTGAGCGAGGGGCCGGCCTGTGCGGCTCCGGGCTGCCTCCCGGCGCTGACCTAGCGTGGGGGTGGAAGGTGGGGGGCAAACAGAAAGGGTGCCCCCTGGAGCATCGCCCCAGCCACCCCCGGGACCAGGGCAGGGAGAGCTCCCCAGGCCTTGCTGGTGCACGGGGCTGAGCTGGCTGAGGTGTCCCACACCGGGAGGGCCACTCTCCAAGGTGGACGGAATCCAGCCTTGCCCTGCACCCCTGACACCCCAAACCTCGCTGGCAGCTGCGCACCGCCTGGGCTGTGGGGACTGGCAGAGTGGAGAGGCGTGTCCCGGCCGGGTGGGCCCAGGAGGCTCTGGCAGAGGCTGAGGAGCCTGGGGAAGGAGGGCCAGAGCCTCTCCAGGGGCTGCGCTGGGCCTGGCTGGGCCTGAGCCACCACCAGGCAGGAGGGTGCACAGGAGCCGGCACTGGGGCAGCAGGGGCCGCAGAAAAGGACAGACAGGAGGAAGCTGCGGGCGGCACAGCAGCAGGCCTCCCGCTCTGCGCGCCGGGCACGGACGCATCCTGAGAGGGAGCCCCACAATTCCACCAGCAAGCTGGCTGCACCCCCAGCACCCGCAAGTGGAGCCCCGAGTCTGCCTGGAGCGCTGTGCGGCGCAGGCGGACTCCACGGAGGGAGGGTGAGGTCCGTCTGGAGGGCGGGCACTGCGCCGAGCCCGGGGCGGGGGCTGGGCCCGCGCGGGAGGGACCCCAGCCTGCGCCAGGGCGGGCAGTGGGCCCCGCTGGACACCACGCCCCGCCCAGAGCACACTGATGTCCAGCCTCTGCTGCCGGCAGGTTGCTGGGCCCTGGGGTGAGGGGCGCCATCCTGCGGGAGCCCTTGGCGCCTTCCCTTCCAGAAGCTGACCCCGAGGTGGGGGTGGGCTCTCAGGCCGCCCCGCCCACGGTCTCGGAACGGCCTCCCCGCTGGGTGAGCCGGGACCCCAGGAGCCGCCCGAGGCTCCACGCGCTGTCCGTGAAGCTCCACGCAGGACCTCGGGGTCAGGGTTTCCAGTGCCAGAGAAAAGCACGGCGCTGGCAGCTCCCACTTCTTGGGCTTGAACTGGGAACATGAGCGCCAACGCCGCCGGCCCGCGCGTCCTCAAGCGAAGCCACTTTGCTGTCTGCGACTCTGGACGGCCCATCCCGGCAGGGCCGACCCAGCAGCGCAGCCTCGGGGACCAGGACTCGGCGGACGGACGTCCTGAGAAGCCACTGGATCGGCCGCCGCTGAGTCCTCGTGGTCCTCGGTTGGCGTCGGGGCTTGTTCTTTGAAAATTAGTTTAAAAAAAGCGCCGGGTGTGGCCCCTGCCTGCCCTGGGCTGGGGGTCCAGAGAGGCAGGGGCTGGGCGAGGGGGAGCATGGGGGCTTGGGGGGCGCCTCCCTCATGTGTCAGACCCGGGCCCCGTGGAGCCAGCTGGCGGCCCACCCGGCCACGCCTCCGCCCTGCCCACCTTAGTCCTCGCTGTCCCCGACGGGTCTCAGAAGAGCCTGGAATCAGAACGGCGCCCGCCCCAGGCTCCTCCCGTGGGTCAGGGCCAGCAGGAGGGGGAACGCAGGGTCAGACCCGCGGGGAGCCTGAGGCTGGAGAAGGGAGGCCAGCGCATGCAGGCCGTGGGCGGCCATGGCGGCGTCTCCTCCTGTGACGGCGGGATGTCCACGGAGCTGTCTGCAGGGGCCGCAGCTGGCAGTGACGGGGCGGGAGAGTGGGGGCCGGGCCGGGCGGGAGCTCACCGAGGGCCCCACGGGAGACGGGCCCGCAGAGACCCTCCCTGGCCTCCAGCTAACCTGGTAGCGCCCACACGCTGCGCCCCAGGTGGCGTCCCCGCAGGCGGCGGCCCCCAGCCAGCGTCCCGCCAGCGGCCAGCAGCCTGGCGCCGTGCGAGTGTGCGGCCTCCCAGCAGATGCACACAGTAGGGCTGAGGGGCCCAGGGACCTGCCCTCCAGGGAGCCCCCCCAGGTATGACCCCAAGGTACCCCAAGTGAGGGGCCCAGGACAGAGCCCGGGGGGCCCTACTGGCTTGGCTGCACGTCCCTTGGCTGCCCGCGGGTCCTGGTGTCGCCCCACACCGGCTGAGCCGGGCGAGCGAGGGCCTTGGCTCCGCGGGGGCTGAACACCCCTCGGTAGAGGCCCAGCCAGGCAGCGCCCGCCCCTGTGGCCCAGTCCCCTCGCCCTGACTCCCCTGGCCTGGGCACAGCCCACGCCCCACCTGTGAAGACCCACACCGTGACCGCCAGGAGCCTGGACTGTGTGTGCGCCACGCAGCCGAGGGTGCCGTGTGCAGGCCCACACATGCACTGCACCTGCACAAGTGTGCACGTGTGAGTGTGCGTGTACACAGACTGCCCCCTCTCGAAGAAGGAGCCGTAGAGCCAGGGATATGGAGAATTTGGGGTGCTCAGCGGTGACAACAGTAGGGTCAGACACCCCGCTTCCACCCAGCTGGCTCGCCACACGCTCGCGTGGTGGCTGAGCCCTGTCCACAGAATCATATCCACACCCCCGTCTCCCTCAGCCCCTGCCCCAGGCCCGTCCCCCAGCCTCCCCGCCCCCAGGCCCCAGTCCCAACCCCTGCCCCCAGCACCAGCCCCAGCCCCAGCCAGCACCAGGGTCCGGCTGGTGCCCAGAGGGGAGGCCGAGTTTTCTTGAGTTGAGGTCAGGTCATCTGACACGGGGCCCCCAGTGTCGCGTCGCGCCCGTTCTCGGAAGTCCCCGATACCCATCGGCAGCCTCTGGTAGGACGCCCCGCGCCGCCCCGAAGCTCCATTCAGTCCTCGGCTCTAACAAAAGGTCCACAGGTTTGGGGCTACTGGGGGCAACACGGAGGTGTGCTCAGCCCGCGAGCACCCAGGCTTCCCCGGGCCTTCTCACTGGCTGCTGAGCCTCCCTTCCGAGCAGCTGCTGGGGGACCAGCCTCGGAACCCCGAGTCCTGCTGGCTCCGGGCAGCCCCCTCGGGGTGGGGCAGCTTCCCGCGGGGGCCGCCCCCAGGACCGTTGCTGGGAACTGGCGCCAACTCCCTGCAAAGCAGGACCTGAATCACTTCAGACAGCGCAGCCGGCCGGGTGTGTGGCTGGGGCCCTCTCTGGGGGAATCCCCCCTAAAATGTGTACCCTGACACACACCAGGGCCCCCTGCTTTCCTGTGCGATGCGCATGCGTGAGATCAGGGCGCTCTGAGCCAGCTGGGGCCCGAGGCTGAGGCGGGGGCTGGGTCCCGTGTGCCCACTTCCTCCCCTGCCCCCACAGCGCTCAGCTGGCCCTTTGGGGCCGAGGCTTCCACACACCCCAGGGGGCTGGGCTGTGCCTGCTCGGGGGTGCCTGATAAGGCTGCTCCTTGCCGAGGACCCGGGGGCCCCTGAGCCACTCAAAGGCTAGCGAGTGGGGCACGGGCTGGGGGCCTGTCCCTGGCCTGCAAGGCCGGGGCGGGCAGTTTCACAGCCAGGGCCCCCCACGCCTTGATGGTGCTGCTGCCGGGCACCTGGGCCCCCGCGCCGGCCTCTGCCCCGGACCCACCGCGCTGCTCCACCCGGCGGGCACCCGACCCGGGGGCCGACCTGGAGGGGCCAGGCCGGGGCTGCCCGGGAGGCTGCGGGCGACGACGCCAGCTCGCCGGGCGAGAGCCGAGGAGGAGGCGGGGGACTCGGTCTGCCCGCCGGGGTCACCGGGCGCCCCCTGAGTTCCCAGCCTGGCTCCGCCAAGGTGTGGGCTGGCCCTGGAGCAGGGGCAGGTCCCTGCCGCGGGCACCCGAGGGAGAAGCCGCCCGAGAGACGCCCGCGGCGCCGCGCCCGGCCCAGCCCACTGCCCCCACGGCTGCCCCTGGCGGAAGAGCCGCCCTCGGACCAGCGGCCGGCTCCGGGGCCAGGACTGACGCACGCGGCTCTGGGAGCCCGGGGCCCGGAAGTCTGCCCGCGAGAGGGGGTGGAGAGAGGAGCGAAGGCGCGGGGGTCGGCGGGAGGATGGACCATGGGCAGCCAGGCAGGTGGTGACAGGCGGACAGACAGGGGGTGCGTTGTGCGAGTGGACAGATGGGCGGAGGATGGGGGGGAGGGCTGGGGAGGGGGAGGGGGAGGTGGGGGCGGGTGGCCCGAGGAGCAAACATGCCGCGGGGCCGGGGAGCAGACCAGCGATGGGCGGGCGGGTGGACGGGAGGAGGAGTGGACGGTCGGGTGGACGTCGGCGGGAGGGACTCTGGGCGGGGCGCCCGTCCTCGAGCCTTCTGCAGGGCAGCTCCCCGCGTGTCTCCCTCATCACCCACTGGAGGCAGAACGTCCCGGACGCGGGTCCTCGGCCCCTCGCTCTCCCGGGCCGCTTTACTCTCGCTGCGGCTGTGCGGGCCCAACGGGGAGCCGGCGGGGGCGGGGCCGCGAGGTGCCCCAACTTGACAAACCTCCAGCGCATCTTCTGGGCCTCGCCGGGGCGGGCGACTGTCTGGCCTCCCAGGGAGGCCGCCCACAGGGGCCCAAGAGGAAGGACGGAGAGCCGCGGGGCGGGTCCCCGCGGGCCTGATGCCTGAATCCTGGAGCGCCTGCCCCGGCTGCACCTGCAGGACAAGAGCCTACGTGTGCACACACGCACTGCGCGTGCTCACGCGCACACCCCACGCGTGCACACATGGCCAGGCCCTAGGTGGGGGGTGGGCCCGGCCTAAGCTGGGCTCTCAGCGGCCCATGGAGCCCTGGCCACGGCGGGACTGGGCTCCCACCCTCTGCCCAGGCCCCCGAGATGCGCTCCCCGCTTGGAAGCAGGTGTCAGGGGCGCAGGCCTGCTGCTCTGTGGGGTTCCTGCCCCAGGGGAAGCTCGGTTCCCCAGGCCCAGAGCCCGGCCTCCAGTGCCCACCTCCAGCTGCGCCGGCAGCCACACTGCAGTCCCGGGGCGCCCTCTGGTGACAGGAAGGCCGGACTTGGGGTCTCACAGCTGGAGCCCGGCGCAGCCCCTGCCCTCTCCGAGCTCAGGGGACAAAGGGGCCGCTGTGAGGGGGGCTTCTGGGGTCTCCCGGGGAGGGGCTCACCGAGGACCAGCAGGCCCTGCGCCGCGCTCCCGGAGGCTGCCTTTCGGACGGACGCTGAGAGCCCGCGCGCCCCGGCCCACCCGCCCCGAGGAAGGAGCGGCGCTCCCGCGGGCCTGGCCAGGGGGTGACCGCTGACGGCCACTCCCCACAGGCAGCACTGGGGGCAGTGCCTGTGGCAGCAGGACCCTGGAAGGGAAGGGGGCCGCCTCTGCCCACAGGTCCCCCGCCCGGCGGAGTTGCCCGCACTGGGGCCAGCCCTTCCCAGGCAGAGCCCGCGGATGGCAGGACAGCAAGACGGCGGCTGGTCAGCAAGACGGCGGCTGGTCAGCGGGCCAGCGCTGGGCTCTGGCACCTGGAGGGGGCAGTAAGACGGGCCAGCGAGCCTCGGGGCGGCGGCAGGGGCCGGGCGCTGGGCGGGGCCAGGGAGCTGGCTGCCGGGCCAGGAGCTGGGCGGCGGGCACACCTGCACCCTGCACCCTGCCAGCAGCCTCATGTCGGGGTACCGGGGAGACAGCAGGCAGGTAGGTGCCCCACCGCGGGGCAGGGTAGGTGGCCGGGAGTCGGGGGCTTGGGCCTCGCTTTCCTTGACCGGAGTGCCGACCCCGCCTTCCCGGGTGGTGGGGGGCTGCACCCCCGCGGTGACGGCTTGTTTGGCAAGGGGCTAGCCCTGGGCCCCGGCACCCCGGTCAGTGCTTGGGGTGGCCCGGCCCAAGGGCCGGGCCCCGGATGTGGGGACAGCTCCCCCAGCAGCCGGGAGAGGCGGGTGGGGCTGGGAAGCTGGTGGGGGACAACCCGTCTGGGTCTTCCACACCCCACTTGGTGTCCACTCCGCCTGCCGCGCGCCGGGGAGACTCGGTGGGGCCCCCTGTCCCTCCACCGGGTCCCCACCGCCCGCAGGGCAGGAGCTGGCGGAGTCTGGGCACTCGCTGGGCACCCTTGGGAGGGTCTCGGCTGGGATGCTCACGGCGGGGGAGGGGGGTCGTCTGCCCCCAACAAGAGCCCCTGCATCTTTGCGGCTGAGGCGGAAGATTCTGCCTGTTTCTCCTCTTGGGAGTTGTGGGATGGGATTCCCCCTTGCCTGGCTCCCCAACCCCTTCAGGAACAAGGGGCGCTAAGGCCCAGACACCTGTTCATGCAAATCCTGCCTTTGCATGCCCCCCCATCCATTTGCCTGGCATCTGGGCACCGTGCCCCACGTCCCTCTGCCCGGGCTGGGCAGCAGGGCGGGCCCGGGCCTGACGGGGCATGGGTGAGGGGTGGATGCTGTGGCCCTAGGGGAGGCGAGGCTGTCCCTCAAGCAGGGGAGGGGCATGGGCCAAGCGGAGAGAGGGCATCGGGTGGGGCCACAAGACCCTCCCCAGGCGGGGCGGCTGGACTTGGGCGTGGGCAGGGGTCTGCCCAGCCATGTGTCGGGTGATCCCAGGGGCAGCCAGGGGTGGGGTGGGGCCTTGGTGGCGGGGGTTGGGGGCCAGCCTGCCCCACGCTCAAGCAGGACTCCCACGGGCCCAGCTCGAGCCTGTACTGTGGGGCTGGAGGGTGCCCCACCGTGCACGCCGTGGCTTGCTCGGAAGCAGGGTCTTGGCAGGTGTGCCTGAGGCCGGCGTCCCCGCCAGGCGCGTGGGCCCCACGTGGGGGCGCAGAGGCCAGGCGAGACAGGAAGGAGGCTCCCCAGGAGGCTCAGGGGGAGCAGGGCCCTTGGACCCCGGGATGTGGGGCTTCTGGGCCGGGCTGGGGCAGAGCGACCCCTGCCGTGCTCAGGGCCGATGGGTGGGGGGCTGGGTAGAGCCGCCCCAGAGCCCTCATGCCCCCACCCAGGCCTGGCCCCACAGCATCCACCACCACCAGCTCCTGGGAAACAAAGGCCCCTCTGTGGCCCAGCCCCTGCCCTGCCCAGGGGTGCAGGAGGATTTGCATCCCCCCAGGGCTGGGCCCCAGCCGCACCCTCCCAGGCCCGGCTCTGCAGAGCTGGGGGCCCCCCAGGCCCACATGCACTGGCTGCCGGCGCTCCTGGTGACCCCAGAGCCTCCCGGGAGTCGTGGCCCTGAGAGGAGCAGGGACTGCGCCCTCCTGAGGCCGAAGTCCTGGGCCCAGCCCAGTGGGCCCCGCTCCCTCCGGGCTGTAGGGGAGCCGTCCTGCCTTCCCGGCTTCTGGGGCAGGGACCCCGGGCTTGTGGCCACCTCGCCCGGCCTCCGACTCGCCTCCCCATGGCCGACCCCCTCATCTTAGTGAGACGCTGGTCGCCAGGCCCCCCAACGTCATCACGTCTGCCAGGGGGACGGGCACACGCCCTGGGGACAGACAGGGCCTGGGAGGGGCGGGGAGCCTCGCAGGGTTTTGCGAAGGGCCCCACTCTCGCGAGGGGCTGGGGTGGCGTCGCACGCCGCCCGGGGGTGACCTGACTGGGGAGAAGCCGGGGAAACAGCTCAGCAGAACGGGGCGACTTGGGCACCCCTGTTTGGGCACGATGGCCGTGAAGCGCGTGGGCTGCTTCCAGGTCAGGGCGCGGGCCCTCTAGTCTCCCAGAACGGGGTGCGAGGGCTGTACAGAGAACTTCGGGGTTGGGGCCAGGGCAGGTGAGCCCCCAGTGAGGGTGCAGAGAAAAGAAGGTGGGCTCCAGGCGGGCAGTGGAGCAGGTGAGCAGGAGAGGTGGGGGTCAGGTTGGGGAGACCCTGCAGGGCTGGCACCACGCGGCGGGCTGGAGGGGCCTGACTGAGCCCTTGTCACGCCGGGCCCCAGGGCCTGAGCGCAGCTGCGGGAGGGCGCGTGGCTGGGCTGGGCTGGGCTGGGGGCGAAGCCCTGACTTGGTGGGGGGCCTTGGGGCGCATGTTTTGGCTCTCAGGACCACCTGGCAAGGCCCCTCACCCTCCCCAGATCCCTGGGTGCCTGGGCAAGGAGGGGCGGCCCTGGACCACACCTTGGGCTGAGCTGCGGGCACCCGCTCAGGCTGGCCACCCTCCTGCGTGTGGCCCGCCCTGGGGCCACCCACCTGGGCTGCCAGGTGCGGGGGGCGTGTCGAGGCCACAGGACCCCTCTGCATCTCTTGGGATTTCCAGGGAGCCCCAGGCCATAGCCGCCGAAGTGGCGACGGGAGCGCCCAGCCCGAGGCCCGGGCGGGGTGAGTAGGGGCGCAGCCGGAGGAGCCCTCCCGCCCCGGAGGGGGTCAGCTGTGTGGGAGACCCTGGAGCCCGCACAGGCCTGAGCCCGGGCTGGCGGCGGGTGGGAAGGCACCGGGGCTGATGCCCTTGGCAGCCCCAGCTCGGGCTCAGGTCCGCCACCCCTGCAGGGAGGGCCCCGCTCAGGCCGCCAGGGACACCGGCGCTCGCAGCCCCGGGGAGGCGGGCGCAGGGTGGGGGCCGCGCCTGTGCCGGGGCGAGATCGACTTTGGCGCGTCTGGGAAGAAGCGAGGCAAGGTAGGCGCCCCCCGCCCCCGCCTGCCCAGCCCGGCCCAGCTCCCCGAACGCAGAGCCCAGCTCCCCAAACACCAGGTCCCTCCCAGTGTCCCCGCGCCTCACAGGGGCCCCGGCACGGGCAGCCCAGCCTGGCCACCTGAGCGCGCGGGAAGGGTCTGCAGCCTCGGACCCTGCGCTCGGCCCGCGGTCTGCGCCCCGTGCCCCTCCCTGGGCTTGAGGCTCCCGCCGCCCCGCCCTGCAGTTCGTGAAGGTGCCAAGCTGCGTGGCCCCCGCTGTGCTCTTTGACCTCCTGCTGGCCGAGTGGCACCTGCCGGCCCCCAACCTGGTGGTGTCGCTGGTGGGCGAGGAGCGGCCTTTCGCGATGAAGGCCTGGCTGCGGGACGTCCTGCGCAAGGGGCTGGTGAAGGCAGCGCAGAGCACAGGTGCCCCCCCCCGCGGAGTGACGGCGCCTCGCTCGTGACCGAAGGCGCTGCCCAGGGCTGCCCCCTCCCTCGGGGGAGCAGCTGGACTCCGACACTGGGGGTGGGGGGTCTCCACAGACCCGCGGGGTCCAGCATGGCACAGCGACCCCCCCCCACACAGGGGCCTGGATCCTGACCAGTGCGCTCCGGGTGGGCCTCGCACGCCATGTGGGCCAGGCCGTCCGCGACCACTCGCTGGCCAGCACGTCCTCCAAGGCCCGCGTGGTGACCGTCGGCATGGCCTCGCTGCCCCACGTCTTGCACCGCCAGCTTCTGGACGCCGCCCAGGTGAGGTCCACGGAGAGCAGCGCGGCCTGGGGCTGGGGACAGGGCCAGGAGGCAGGAAGGGCCCACGAGCTGTCGCCAAGGCCAGCACAACCTCACCGCACCCACTGGCCCCTCATCATTCAGGGGGCCCCCTCCTGTGCCTGGCCAGGGGGAGGGGGAGGGAGCCGGGCGAGGCTGGCACAGGAGGGGGGGAGGCGGGAGGGGGAGAAGGGCAGCGAGGGAGGGGGAGGAAAGGCGAGGCAGGAGGGGGCAGGCGGGGACGGCCAGCGCGTCCACAGGGCCCAGCCCGCCCGCGTCCCGGGGTGTAAGGCCAGGCCAGCAGCGGCCGGGCGCGCGGGAGAGCGTGCCGCCTGCAGCCCCACCGCACCTGCCCAGCCCTGCCCTCACCTGGGGTCAGGAACAGGCCTGGCGGGAGCCTGCGCGGGCCTCACGGTGTGCGCGGTGTCCAGGAGGACAGGCCCGTCCAGTACCCCGCAGACGACGGCGGCATTCAGGGCCCCCTGTGCCCTCTGGACAACAGCCACTCCCACTTCATCCTGGTGGAGCCGGGGCCTCCCGGGGCGGGGGACGGAGCCACGGAGCTGCGCCTGAGGCTGGAGAAGCACATCTCAGAGCAGAGGGCCAGCTACGGGGGTGAGGCGCCCTGGGGGGCGCAGGGGCACCGTGTGGGCAGGGCGGGGGGGCCACTGGCGGACGGGGGGCAGGCAGCGTGCTCTGGGAGAAGCACCCACGGGCTGAGCTGCGGGGCGCCCGGGGAGCCAGGCAGTGACCCAGCACCCGCAGGGCCCGTCCGCCAGCCCGCGCTCCAGCCTCTGGCCGTCGGCTCCGGCTTCCAGACGAGCTCGTGGGCTGTGGCCAGGTGCACGGCGCCAGGCAGTGCGCTGCCACCAGGGGGCAGTGCTGCCCGGGACGGGCCTGGCCCGCGGGCCGGCGGACGCTGGTGCCAGGAAGCACCAGGGAAACGCACGGTGCCCTTGACCATCAGGAACCGCCCAAAGCACCCAGCGCGCGGTCGGGGACCGAGACTCACGAGGACCCCCGGCACTCGGGGCGCCGCGCTGCGAGCCCAGGCCCCCACGCAGCAACCCCCGGCTCTCACTTTTGGCTTCCCGGGGGGCGGACGGTCACCCTCTGGCGTCCCAGGGCCTCCAGGGCGGGGGCAGAGCGGGGGCGGGACGAGCCTTGGGCCGGGCGCGGCTGTGAAGGGGCCGCTGGGTGCTGACTCAGCCACGAGGGGCCGTCTCGGGCCGTGGACCGGGGGCGTCCTCATCGCCGGCAGCGGGGTGAGCAGGGCCCCGCGCGCAGCGGGCACCCACGGTTATCGGGAACGCCTGCCGGCCAGCGTCTGCCCCACAAGGAGGGTCTCGGGCCGCGGCTCGCGGACACGGGCGCTCACGGCGCTGTCCGCAGGCACCGGCAGCATCGAGATCCCTGTGCTCTGCCTGCTCGTCAACGGGGACCCCAGCGTCCTGGAGGTAGGGGAGCGGCGGGGAGGGAGGGCCGGGCGCCCTGGCCACGGGGCCCAGGCAGTGCTGACGGGGCTGCCCCTCCCCTCTGACTCTGCAGAGGATCTCCAGGGCCTTGGCACACGCGGCGCCGTGGCTGGTCCTGGCGGGCTCAGGGGGCATCGCCGACGTGCTGGCCGCCCTGATGAGCCAGCCCCACCTCCTGGTGCCCCAGGTGGCCGAGAAGCAGTTTAGGGAGAAGTTCCCTGGGGAGCAGTTCTCCTGGGTGGACATCGTGCGCTGGACCGAGCTGGTAGGAGCCCCTCCCACCGGCGAGGCCCACCCCTCCCTGGCCCAGGGGTGGCGGGTCCCTGGCCGGGGGGACGTGGGGCAGAGCCGTGAGGCACCCGCCCAGGCCAAGTATGAGGGCCGGGGGCCCTCGGCCGGCACGTGACAGCTCTGCCCCGTGGCCCCAGCTGCAGACGATCACCTCCCACCAGCACCTGCTCACGGTGTACGACTTTGAGCAGGAGGGCTCCGAGGAGCTGGACACCGTCATCCTCAAGGCGCTGGTGAAAGGTGGGCACCCACAGGGCCCTGCACGCGTGGCCACCGGGGGTCCTCAGCCTGGGCGTTGTGCTGCTGCACTGTGGGCATTTCTGGGCTTGGCACCCCACTGGGTGAGTGGGGGACAGGGGCGGAGGCTCTCTGGGCCGGAAACCCAACAGTGTCAGCGTGGTCCTGGCCCAGAGGTCAGGCCCCACCATGAAGACGGGCCCTGCGGTGTCCCTTCCCCGCATCAGGAGGGCCTGGCCTCGGCTCCAGACTCCGGACACTGACCAGCCCTGCCAATGCTCCACCTGTGCTGCCCCCTTGGAGGCAGGCGCCCAGGGGCCAGGGCAGCGCCTAGTTCTAGAAGCCCCACTTTGGGGGACCTGCCCACCAGCTGTCGGCCCACAGCCTGCAAGAGCCACAGCCAGGAGGCGCAGGACTATCTGGACGAGCTCAAGCTGGCCGTGGCCTGGGACCGTGTGGACATTGCCAGGAGCGAGCTCTTCAACGGGGACGTGGACTGGAAGGTGCCCACCTGCCAGCGGCCGCATCCTGCCTCCCTCAGGCCAGCGCGGGGCAGGGCGGGCAGTGGTTGGCCGCTGGGGGTCCTTTCTGGCCCGGATAAGGCGGGGGTGGGGCCCGGGAGGCCTTGCACCCCCCTCATCCCGGGGCCAGGCAGGACCGGCTGACCCGCTTGGCGGGGCCTGGGCTCTGCCGCGCCATCTGCGTGAGGGGCCTGGCCCTGGCAGAGGGTCTCCGGCTGCCACCCCTCCTCGGGCGCCCCCCTCACCCCATCTCTCCCGCTCGCGCGCGCGGCGCCCATCAGTCCTGCCACCTGGAGGAGGTGCTGATGGACGCGCTGGTGAGCAACAAGCCCGAGTTCGTGCGGCTTTTTGTGGACAACGGCGCGGACGTGGCCGACTTCCTGACCTACGGGCGGCTGCAGCAGCTCTACCACTCGGTGCCCCCCAAGAGCCTGCTCTTCGACCTGCTGCAGCGCAAGCACGAGGAGGGCCGCCTGACGCTGGCTGGCCTGGGCGCCCAGCAGCCCCGCGAGCCCCCCTCGGGGCAGCCCGCCTTCTCGCTGCACGAGGTCTCCCGCCTGCTCAAGGACTTCCTGCACGACGCCTGCCGCGGCTTCTACCAGGCGGTCAGCGGGTGGTGGGGCCGGCGGATGGGAGGTGAGGAGCTCGGGGCAGAGGACCGCAGAGCTGGGTGGCCTGACGCCTCGGCCCTGCAGGAGAAGGGCCCAGCCAGGCGGCCCGCGGGCCAGAAGTGGCTGCTGGACCTGAGCCAGAAGAGCGAGAACCCCTGGAGGGACCTGTTCCTCTGGGCCGTGCTGCAGCGCCGCCACGAGATGGCCACCTACTTCTGGGCCATGGTGAGCAAGCCCCCCTCTCAGGAAGCCGGGGGGGCATGCTCTGGGTGGACCCCGAGGAGGGCGGGCGGGGTGGCATGGCCCCTCAGCCCCGAACTTCCAGGGCCAGGAGGGCGTGGCTGCCGCGCTCGCTGCCTGCAAGATCCTCAAGGAGATGTCCCACCTGGAGACGCAGGTCCAGGCGGGCAGCGCCCTGTGCCAGGCCAAGTACGAGCAGCTGGCCCTGGGTGAGCCACTGCGCGGCGCCAGGCGACCCCAGGGGCCGAGTCCCAGGGCAGAGAGGCAGGCCTGTGTGAACCGGCCGGGACGGTGGAGGGGCAGAGGCCGCACAGCCTGACACAGTGGAGGGAGCCGGGCAGACATGCAGGGTCCCAGGGCTGCCGGCCCCGGGCAGGGCGGGCGGGCGGGCGGGGCGTGGGCCGGCAGCGCCTCCTAGCCCATGCGCCTGCAGACCTCTTCTCCGAGTGCTACAGCAACAACCAGGACCGCGCCTTCGCCCTGCTGGTGCGCCGCAACCGCTGCTGGAGCAGGACCACCTGCCTGCACCTGGCCACCGAGGCCGACACCAAGGCCTTCTTTGCCCACGACGGGGTGCAGGTCAGCCGTGGGCTCCGGGCAGGCTGCGGGGGTCGGGGGACAGCAGCGGCCTCCCCCTGCTGCCCAGAGAGGCTCCTTCCTGAAAAGCCCCCCCCCCCGGAAGAGCCCCGCCTGGCCCCGGAGCCCGGAGCCCAGAGCCTGCCCGTCAGGAGCTCCTTCTCCACGGGGAGGCTGGGACAGGCAGGTGCCAGGCAGGCACCAGTGTGGAGGTGGGAGGCCAGCATCGTGTCTTTATTCCAGGCCTTCCTGACCAAGATCTGGTGGGGGGACATGGCCTCGGGCACCCCCATTCTGCGACTGCTGGGTGCCTTCCTCTGCCCGGCCCTCATCTACACCAACCTCATCACCTTCAGGTCCGTCCCCGGGCCGTGGGCTCCCTGCACAGCGGCAGGGCCTCTGCACCCTGTGTCCGCAGGGCCCGCGCGCTCAGCCCCGGCTGCCTGTGCCGTCGCTGGCCGGGGACTCAGGGTGAGCGGGTGCCCAGCCCTGGGTCCTGAGGGTCCCTGTGCTCGCAGCGAGGAGGCCCCGCTGAGGACGGGCCCGGAGGACCTGCAGGAGCTGGACAGTCTGGATACAGAGAAAAGCCTGCTCTGCTACCCGGGGTGAGGGCCGGGGCTGGCCTCCCGGGCAGCGAGGAGGCTTTGGGGCGCCGGGCTGCTGGCCTCACTGCTGTGGCCCCCTCATGTCCAGGACGAAGGAGCCAGCCAGGGAGCCCGGGGCTCAGGGTGCCCAGGGTCCACGGGCCGCCTTCCTGCTCACCCGCTGGCGCAAGTTCTGGGGCGCGCCCGTGACGGTGTTCCTGGGGAACGTGGTCATGTACTTCGCCTTCCTCTTCCTGTTCACCTACGTGCTGCTGCTGGACTTCAGGCCGCCTCCGCAGGGGCCCTCGGGGCCCGAGGTCACCCTCTACTTCTGGGTCTTCACCCTGGTGCTGGAGGAGATCCGGCAGGTCAGTGGCAGGCCCAGCTCGCTGGCCCCCCCCCGCCCGCCCCCAGCTCCTGCCTGGCCCCACCCCACTGCCTGCCTGCCCGCCACCCCCACCCCGCCGGGCCCGCGGCTGCCCCTGGAGGCGGGGCCCCGACAGCGCTCTGGCCGTGCCCGGCAGGGCTTCTTCACGGACGAGGACACGCACCTGGTGAAGAAGTTCACGCTCTACGTGGAGGACAACTGGAACAAGTGCGACATGGTGGCCATCTTCCTCTTCGTCGCGGGCGTCATCTGCAGGTCCGGGCCGGCTGCGGGGAGGCCGCGGGCCGGCGTGGCTGGCCCCTGCGCTGCGCCGGGGCCCCGCCTGCTCACAGCAGCTGCGCCACCTCCGTCCTCCCCAGGATGCTGCCCTCGGCCTTCGAGGCGGGCCGCACGGTGCTGGCCATGGACTTCATGGTGTTCACGCTGCGGCTCATCCACATCTTCGCTATCCACAAGCAGCTGGGCCCCAAGATCATCATCGTGGAGCGGATGGTGAGGCCCCCGCCACCCCCGCTGGCCCGCCGCTGGCCCCCCGCTGACCCGCCGCGGGCCTGCCTCTCCGCAGATGAAGGATGTCTTCTTCTTCCTCTTCTTCCTGAGCGTGTGGCTCGTGGCCTACGGCGTGACCACCCAGGCGCTGCTGCACCCGCACGACAGCCGGCTGGAGTGGATCTTCCGCCGAGTGCTCTACCGGCCCTACCTGCAGATCTTCGGGCAGATCCCCCTGGACGAGATCGACGGTCAGCACGTGGGCGGGTGGGGCACTCGGGCGGACCCCGAGGCGCAGGGCTGCAGTCACGAGGCCCTGGTGCGGGGCTGGCTGAGGGGAGAAGACCCGGGCTGGCCCCAGGGGCGGGGTGGGGGAGGGGGGAGCCACGTGTGGGGCTGGCCTGCTGGGGAGGCTGAGGGGGGCCGAGCTTGGGGGCCAGGCGGACGGACGGACAGGAGAGGCACACGGGGGCCCCTTGTCCATCCCTGCCTGGGGCCTGGGGTCTGGGCCCTTCCAGCTGGTCCCTTGGCGCCTGACCTCCACATGTCACCCCACAGGGGCCCTGGCCCCACCGGACAGACAGGCCCGGGCTAGGGACTTTCCAGGCCACCAGACCCACGCGCTGGGGGTGGGGGCAGGGCGGGTCGGGCATGGGGAGCAGCACAGTGAGGGGCAGGGACGGAGCGTGCTGTGCAGCTCACACGGCCCTTTGGGGTGCTGGCCCGCCAGGGGTGGGCTCTCTGGAGTGGCTGTGGCCTGGCCCAGAGGGGGCTGTGTCCACCATGCCAGGGCGCTGGTATCCAGGCCCCCCGCCCCGCGGTGTCCATGACGGCGGGCACTGGCTCCCCTGCTGCGGGGTGGTAGGGTCCTGTCCTCACTCCCAGGGGCCTGGGTTTGGCCCAGCCGTGGCCGCAGGGGACAGCGTGCGGCAGAGCTCATGAGGCAGAGCCACGGGTTTTCCAGGGCTCTGGCTCCCCAGGGTGGGGGTGTTCAGGCTGGAGGCCAAACGATCCTCTAAACCCTGTGGCCCCAGGACCAAGCTCCCCACCCCAGGGCCGGGGGCGCCCCAGCCCATTCGCTCTGCCTCCCCAGAGGCCCGCGTGAACTGCTCTGTGCACCCCCTGCTGCTGGAAGGCTCGCCCTCCTGCCCCAACCTCTACGCCAACTGGCTGGTCATCCTGCTGCTGGCGGCCTTCCTGCTGGTCACCAACGTGCTGCTCATGAACCTGCTCATCGCCATGTTCAGGTGCCCGCCTGCTGCCCTGCGGGCCTGCCCGGGGTGGGGAGGGGCTGCCAGGCTGCTCACCCCTGGCGGGAGGGGCCTGGCCCCGAGTGGGGCGACGCCGAGGGGTGGGGGGGGCTGCCCGGGCAGTCGCCCCGTGTCCGTGAAGGTGGGGAGCGGAAGCCGCGACGGGTGAGCCCCCCTCCAGACACACCCCGTGCAGAATCGGGTGGCGTGAGGTCCCGGAGAAGGGCGGGTGCTGAAGGCCCCGGCCCCCAGCTACACCTTCCAGGTGGTGCAGGGCAACGCAGACACGTTCTGGAAGTTCCAGCGCTACCACCTGATCGTGGAGTACCACGAGCGCCCCGCCCTGGCCCCGCCCTTCATCCTGCTCAGCCACCTGAGCCTGGTGCTCAAGCGGGCCTTCAGGAAGGGGGTCCAGCAGAAGCGGGCGCGCCTGGGTGAGGACGGGGCGGCGGGGAGGGGGGCTGAGCCCCCGGCGCCCCAGACCGTGTCCACCGTGGCCCATAGGCGGCGGGAGCTCCCCGGGGGTGGGGCCCCCCCTGAGGCCCAGCGGGCTCCCGCCGAGCCGGCAGCGGCCTTGTCCCCGCAGAGCGGGAGCTGCCCCCGCCGCTGGAGCAGAAGGTGGCGGCGTGGGAGGCCGTGCAGAAGGAGGAGCTCCTGGGCAAGCTGGCGGCGCGGCGGAAGGACAGCCAGGGCGAGCTGCTGCGCAAGGCGGCCCACAGGTGCGCGGCCGCGGCCTCCAGGTTGCCCGTCACCGAGGGGTCGCGCTGCCGTAAAGCTGGGGTGCGCCCTCTCTGCAGGCACGGGGCCTGAGCTGGGGAAACAGGCTGTGGGCGGGGTTTGGGGAGACCCACCCCCGGGGGGGCTCCAGTGCCCTGTGCCCACGTCCCGAGCTGGGAAAGGCGAGAGCAGCCCGGGCTCGGGCGCCCCGGCAGCCTCCACGGGGCCGGCTGAGCGGAAGGCCCTGGCGATGGGATGAGAACGGGAGACTCCCCGAGGCGGGAGCACCCCGCGGCCGTCAGCAGCCAGGGACGCAGGCGTTTCTGCCGCAGGGTGGACTTCGTGGCCAAGTACCTGGGGGGGCTGAGGGAGCAGGACAAGCGCATCAGGCGGCTGGAGTCACAGGTGGGCGCCCTTCCGGCTCCCCCACAGCCCCGCCCCGCGTCCCAGCAGTGGGGTGCTCTAGCTGGGCTCCACAGGAGGGCAGCCTGGGGAGGGACCCTGGGGACTGGACTCCCAGTACCCTCCACGGGGCTTCCAGGCTCTGGGCACCCTCCTAGGGCTGGGCTGCTGTAGAGGGGGGCGCGCCTCCAGAGGCTCTCCGCCCCTTCCTTCGAGCTGTGGCCGGCAAGGGGTGTGAGGGGTCCCAGGGTGCAGAGTCACTGCCCAGAGGGGCAGGTGGGTGCCCACTGCCATGCTGGGCCCTGTGTGGGGCCGGGGGCTTCCCTGACGCCGCTCCCCACCAGGTCAACTACTGCACGGTGCTCCTGTCCTCCATGGCCGACTCTCTGGCCCAGGGCGTTGCCCACCAGAGTAAGTGGGGGCGTCCCGTGTCCCCTGCCCCGGGCTCCTCCCCCACCTGGAGCGGCCGCCCTCGGGCAAAGCCCCTTCCCAGTCAGGGGTGAGACACAGCCACTTGGCGTCCCCAGCACTGCCTGGCGGGCCCCACAGGGTGCCCCCAAACCCCTCCCCTGTGCTGGGCCACCTGCCCCCGCAGCAGCTGAGAAGGGGTGTTCCCTCCCTACCAGACGCTGGCAACTTTGGCGCTGGGAACCTACAGGCCTCTGCTCACCACGGTGCTGGCATCAGGGAGCACCCCGAAGCTGGCCAGGTGCCCCTAGACACCTGAACCCCTTGGACTGTCAGCCCAAGCGCCCCCAGCCCAGATCTGGGCGGGCAAGAGAGCACGGCTCTGACCTGCGGGATGTGAAACCTCCTTGCCCTGTGGGCACCTTCTTGGGAACCCCTGGGCTGGCGAGCACAGGGCACCTCTCCCCCAGACCCCTCATGAGCACCGGAGGTGCGACGAGCCCTCCCGAGCAACCCCTGGAAGACACCCCCTCGGGCCAGCGGCCCCTGGAGACCCCACCCCATCCCTGGCCTGCGCCCCTAAGAGACGCATCTTTTCCAAACACTGGTGGTTGCTATTTCTGCTGCGCCGGGGCTGGGAGCCCGGGGGCACGCGGGCCGCACCCTGGGTGCTTGCTGGCCGCTCGGCCTGCGTGGCTGGGACACGGGCCCAGCACCTGGCCTGGTTCGCAGCCCGTGGCCGTGACAGGTCGTGCAGCAGGAGGGAGCGGGGGCCAGGGTCAGGGCTGCTGGCGAGCTGAGCCCCCGTGGCCGCGGCGCCCTGCCCTGGGGGACGGGGCGCTGGAGCACCAGACCGCCAGCCGCCGGCACGCAGTGGCTCTGCGCACAGCTTGGTAGGTCCGGGGACACCAGTCACCCTCACACGTGGCCGGGGCCCGTCAGTGGCGCCCGTCCCAGGCCGCCACCCCTTGCTTTGGCCGAAGAACAGCCTCGCTGCCTCCAGCAAGAGCTTCGGGTAATGACCACAGGTGACTAAACCGCTCCCCGCCCCAAAGCCCGCTCTACCAGGGCGGCCATGCCGCGGAGCCAGGGCGGCCGGGCCTGGCGGGCGGGGAGCAGAGACGGGGCCAGCCACAGAGACACGGAACTGAAGAGTCACAGCCATCTTTACTGTTCCCGCGCGGCCACCCGGCCTCTGGCGCCCCTGGCTGCGCCCTGGCCAGGTCTCCGCTCCTGGGGACCAGGATCCGGGGGCTGCCCTGACCCGGAGACCATGCCAGCCAAAGCCAGGACTGCCAGCATCACCGGCAGGCAGCCTGCAGGCCCACACCCCATCCCTAAGGCCCCAGGCCAGCAGGGCCACCTCCCCTCAGCCCTCAGCACCCGGGTCCTCCGCGCGGCTGCTCCTGCTCCGGAAGTGGCCTCTACTCCGCTTCCTGGCGCCATGGAAGCCAACAGTCTCCACCGCTGGGGGCCCCGCCACGGCCCCAGCCTGCTCGGCCCCCTCCGGTGTGCTCGCCTCCTGCAGACCCCCTTGGGGGCCACTCGGGTCCTCGGCCTCTGGGCTCCCAAGCGCAGCCAGGTGGGTCAACTCCACGGGGCCCTCGGCCCCCGCTGCTCCCGGGTGGCCAGGGGTGTCCCTGCCTGGCTCTCCTGCCTTCCCCAGGACCCGCTTTCTCTCAGACCTGGCCTCGCCAGCTCGGGCTGGCTTGCTAAAGACAACTCTCCCCTCCCCACAGCTGGAGGGATCTTGGTTGAAGGAGGGCGTGTAGTCTTGGGGTGCAGCCAGGCTCTGCGCACCCAGGAAGGCCAGGGCAGCGGCCTGGTTGCTCTGCTCGCTAACCTCAGCCACGTCGTCCAGGCTGTACTTGGTCCAGCGCTCAGGATGGGCCACGTAGTCAGGGACGGGGGCTCCCCTCCGGGGGGCGGGGGTCAAACTGTCCCTGCCCAGGCCCCCAGCTGGAGGCTGGCTAGCGGGAGCAGGGGGCCATGGGAAGCCCCCCAGGTCACCCAGACCACCTTGGCCTACGGAGGGCGGAGCCCGCTTGGCCGCCCCCTCCAAGCAGTCAAAGATGTTTCTGCTGCGCTGGGAGAAGGGGAGGCTCGTGCCTCTCAGGTGGAAGGGCTGGACGGAGGCTGGGGGGGCGCCCTGGGGAGGTGGTGGCGGCTCTTCAGGGTCTGAATCCTCCTGAGCATCCCCAGGCAGCCCCTCCGGGGACAGAGCTTCCAGCTCAACCCCGCCAGGCAAGCTGAGGTCCGAGTCAGAGTCGCTGAGGGAGACGGCGTCGCTTGGCAGGGCGTCGTACTCCGTCCCTTGCTCGACCTGCTGCAAGCCAGGTGGGGGCTGGCTTGGCCCCGTCTCCGCCATGTGTCCCTCGATCACGCCGCACCTAGACAGGACCAGCCCCCGTTTAGAACAAGCCCCCTGAGCAGACCCCCCGGCCGTGCAGGCAGGAGAGCGGCAAGAACCGCGACCGACCCAGGGAGGCGCGGCTCCCCCACGCGCGCCCGGCCCGGGCCCTCCTCTCACCTCCGTCCCGGCCGCGGCGCTGCACAGGCAGGTGTGGCGGCCCCAGCCCAGCAGCGCGCCCCACTCGCGGCGTTCAGCAGCTCAAGGGCAGGGGGCTGCGGCGGGGAGGGAGGGACGGGGTCAGACGCCGGGGCCGCGGGGGGCTGCAGCGCCAAGACCCCCACCCCACCCCCCACGCGGGTCAGGCCCCGGGGCGCGACCTCATCCACGCGTCCTGGCGGCTCCTGGCGGCGGGGGCGGGCGGGCCGCGGGGGGCCGCGGCAGGACCGGGCCACGGCCCCGGGGCAGCCCGCGCCTCCGCCCCCTTCCGCTTCCGGGGGGCCAGGCCGGCCGGGGGTCCGGAGCACCCGCAGCTCGAGGACCCGGGCGCCCGCCCGGCCGCAGGGCCGCCGCGGGAGCCTGAGGGGTCTGCAGCCCAGGCCTTGGCCCCTGGGGGTCGCGCTCTCGGGGAGCGGGGGGCCCTCGGCCCGCGGAGACGGCCGGCAGCTCCCCCGGAGCAGGGGCGCCCCGTCTTTCCCACCGGGGAGAAGCGGCCCGGGCGGCGGGCGGGCCGGGGCCGGGGCCCGCCCGCTGGAGCGCGCGGAGGCGCCCGGTCTGGACGGGCGGGGGTGGCTCCTGAGCTGGGCCCGAGGCTTGGGGCCCCGAGAGGCGGCCGCCGCCGTCCGCCCCCAACACAAACCTACCGGCTCGCCGCCGCACGGCCGCCTCCATCTTGCGCCGCGCTCGGCCCGCTGGGAAACCGAGTCCTCCCCGGCGAGCCCCGCGGCCTCTGCGCTCGGGAACTACATCCCCCACAAGGCCCTGCGCCACCGCTCCCGCGGCTTGACGGGAAAGCCCCCGCGCACGCGCCCACGCTCCCTCTCCGCCCCTCGAAGCGGTTTTATTTTGCCAAAGGAATTCGTGATTGACCGAGGGGGGGAGCTCGCACTGCGACCCCCAGGCCGCTCGACGCCTAAGGACGAGCCCCGAGTTTCCGGTCCCAGCGCCACCTGCCGGCAGCCGCGAGACAGCGGCCGCCACAGGCAGGAAGTGCGTCATCGCGCGCGCGCGGCGGCCCCGAGCTGCTCGCGGAACTTCCGGCCCAGGCCGGAAGCGGCCGCCCAGCCGCTGGCCCCGGCGGGACGCCTCCGAGTGGGCGGGCTCCGCCTCCGAGTGGGCGGGGGGCCGCCCCGCAGGGAGCGCCCGTCCCCCGCGGCCGGGCCCGGGCCCCGCGCGCCCCAGGCAGGGCTGGCTGCGATTCTGCGCGGAGCCCCCGCCGTGGATCCGGCCAGACCCTCGTCTCAAGGGGCCCCACGGGCCTGTCCAGCGGGGTCCAGCGTAGGGCCGGGCGCCCGGGCAGGGCAGAGCCCCCGACTCTGGGGCAGGCGGCGCCCCCAGCCCGTCCTCCGCGAGCCGCCCGGTCCCGCGCAGGGCGCCCCCCGCGAGGCCGGGGGTGGCCGCGGGCCTGCCTGCAGCAAGGCGGGCGCCTCCCGGGCCCCCCCACACGCCAGGCCCGCGCCCCGCAGCCTCCCCGGGCGGTGCCGCGACACAGGGAGCCAGCGGCTGGTTGGCATGCCTGGTTTCCTCCTTTATTGAGTGGCTTTCAGGGTGGATGACAGTGGACAGCGAGCGTTAGGAAGGGCAGGTGAACGGAGGCGCGGAGCTGCCCGGGCGCTCCCTGGAGGCGCAGGGGAGGAGCCAGGACTTGGAGGCTGGACCCGGCATCCCCGGCCCAGGCCCCGCCGGACGCCCCAAGGCCCATCCGGAGCCACCGGCCAGTGACGTCAGCCCCCCCAAGTGACGGGGCCTGAAGGACAAACTCAGAAGTAAAAAGGCTAATAATCGCAGCGGAGTAATACCGGGATCTATATACACGGAGGGTGGGGCCGCCCGGGCCGGGGCCGGGGCCGGGTCGCGGCGCAGCCTCAGTACACGGAGCTGTTCCGGATGCCGCAGCAGAGCACCATGCTCAGGATCATCTCGAAGATCTGCGGGCGGGCCGGTCAGCAGGGCCGGTCAGCGGCGGACGCCGTCCCCAGCCCCACCCCCACCCCCGCCCGGCGCCCCCACCTGCTCACCATGATCACTGCCACCACGATGGCCGCGATGCCGATGAGGTACAGCTTCCTGGAGAAGAGCTCGTCGATCCGCGGGTGGCACTCCTCCTGCAGCGCCAGGGCGATCAGGGGCGCCCTCCCTGCCTCTACGCCCGCCCCCAAGTCTGGACAGCCCAGGGCCTGGCCAGGTTTAGCCTCACATCCGTTTGAAAACCAGTGTGGAGAAGGGATGGTGGCCTGTGGCCTCTCCCACAGGGGACCCCGAGTGCCCGCGACCCCCAGGGTGCTCAGCCGCCTGAGCCGGGAGTGGAGGCGCGACCCACCCCCCTCCACGCACCTTGAAGAGATTGTAGCTGCCCATGTTCATGCCCTCGGGGCACAGGCTGGGCCTGACCATGTTGTTAATCGCAGCGGAAAACGTGGAGGAGCCACAGCAGTTTAGCTGCAGGGACAGGACAGGGGTCAGCGCTGGAAGGGGCCACCCAGAGACCGTTACACCTGCCGGGCCTGCCCTCCGCCCGTGGGGACCCACCCAGGAAGCCCCTGCGGGTGCCTTGGCGCCGGCCCACGCACCGTCTGGTGGAAGGTCTTCACCACCGCCTTGGCTTTGTTGGCCGCGTTTTCATCCTCCGCGACGGTCTGCTGCGCCGCCTGGTCGTAGAACTGCTTCATGTCCTTGGCGATCTGTGGGAGTGGGTGAAACGCGGGCAAGCCGGAGCGCCCTCAGGGCTGGGGGCCGCCGCCCCACAAGACCTTCCGTGGCAACCCTCACCCCACAGCACACCCTGTAGTCTGTGGGTGGGGCTGCCTGTGCCCCTGCCACCGCCAGGCCGGACGCCCCCTCAAGCCAGGCTCACCTGGTCCTTGTTGACGAAGCCCCAGATGCCAGCAGCCACTTCGCAGGCAAAGAGGATCACCAGGCAGGCAAAGAACTGGGAGGGGAGTGTGGGGAAGGAAAGCGAGGGGGTGTCAGGCAGGGCAGGGGGCCTGCAGCGGGCCCAGGGCTTCCCCAGGCCCAGGCCGGCCCGGCAGCCGGGAAGGCCAGACCACGCAGCGCCAGGCCACATTCCCAAGGGCCCCGTGGGTGGGCCGGAGGCCAGTGGGGGGAGGAGTAAGGGGCTCTGGTGGGAAAACGCGCAGGCCCTGCAGGCCCTTCTCCCTCTCCCTGGGGCAGGGGCTCCCTCACGGGGCACAGACCCGCCTGGAACGCCCACGGCCTTGGTACCGGGACCCCTTCCCCATTAGGTCTGTGGTTTGTTTCTTGAAGTGAAAAAAAGCAACTTTGGAACTGAGGCTCGGAACTAGGCGTAAGGATGTACGCGCGGCCCCCTGCGTGCCCGGCTGAGCCTGTGTGGGCGAGGCAGGCTGCCCAGCACCTCTCCTGAGTCGCCCCCCACGCTGCCACCCGGCACAAGCCCGCAGACGCCACCTACCGTGGCCAGCAGGCACTGGGACTCCTGGATGGCGCCGTAGCAGCCCAGGAAGCCCACGAACATCATCACGGCGCCCACGGCGATGAGGATGTAGATGCCTGCGGGAGGGGCGGGCCGCGTGAACCTCCCAGCCAGGACCCGCACCCCGGGCGGATTCTCCCAAGGGCCCCCCACTCCTGCCACGCACACGCCATGGCCGGGCCTGGGGGGCCGGTGCCAGGCCAGCCCAGGCCACGTGGCTGCCTCTCTGTACCCATTTCCTTGACTACTGAAGGGGGGGCCAGTGGTGCACAGAGAATGGCGCTCACCTGGACAACCCCGGGTGAGACCCCACAGCTTCTCGGCCCCCTGCCTGGCCTGGGAGCTGCAGTCTGCCGTGCCCCTGATGGCGGTGCCACCTCAGCGTCCCCCCTCGGGGGGTCAGACAGGCTGTTCTGGTTTGGTGGGGCTGCCCCGTTGGGGAGATGGGCTTAAATCAGCTTCCACACCCCAACCCGGGGCTGGAGCCTGCTGACAGATGGGCACACGGCGGCAGTGCCGCGGACAGCCCGACTCGGCCCCCGGGGGTCCATCTGTCCTGGCCGCCACCCTGGGGGGCTAGGCCTCATTGCCCAGGAGGCCAGAAGGGCCACCAAGGATCAAGGGGTCACCGGGGCCCGGAGCCGCCTCTGGCCTGACTGTGCGGCCCTTCTCAGGGGCCCACAGCCCGCCAGGTAGGGTCCAGCGCCCACGGGCCACACCGACTGCCTCTCCAGGGGCCTCCCACACCCTGCTCCTGCCAGCGGGAGGGCCCACCGGAGGGCCCACCCCCGTCACCACGGCAGGCAACACGGCAGGCAGCCCGAGCCCCTCCGCACAGCCGGGAAGCAGTGCCCAGGGCGGGGTACCAGGGCAGGTGCCTCTGCCTGACTGGCAGGAGGGGCATAAGTGGCCCAGAAAAAGCCCAGGGCTGCCCACCCTCCCGCTGGGCCTGCCACCCCTCCTGGAGGTGAGGCCCACCGCGGGGGCCCTGACCGGGTCACCACGTGAGGCTCAGCGAGGTGACCCTCCAGGCCCAGCCCCGACCTCCCCCGTGCCAGCTCGGGCTCGAGCCCTTGGGCCTGCTGGCCCGGGATGCCGAGCCCAGCTCCGCGCCCCCCTTCCCCGTGTGGACAAACCGCCCTTGTCAGAGCTCACAGCTGCGCCCCCGCCTCCCTGGCAGGCCCAGCAGGAAGCTCTGAGGCCAGGCTGGGAGGCCCAGAGCGGCCCTGCCCACGGGGCAGGCGCAGCAAGAGCCCAAGTTGGGGGCGGGTGGCCTGCCTCTGCGCACGCGGGGGACCCTCGGCGACGGCCCTCTCAAGCCGCCTTGCCGGGGCTCGCCCACCACCACCACCGCGGGCCCGAGAAGGCGCGAGGCGGACCCCTGGGGAGGAGACCCTGGGCGGAGTCCGGGAGAGACATGCCCCCTGGGAGGGCACCTTGTCCTGACCCCCAGCTTCCAAGGGACAGGACCCGCGTGAGGGGTGAGCGAGGTCACGCTGCTCCCCTACTAGAACCCACAGTCGGGGGCCTGGGAACCTGCAGCAGGAAGTGGGGCCTCCTCAGGGACGCTGGCGGGGAACCACCCCCCGAGCCACGGGCTGCCAGTCTCCTGCCCTCACGGCCAAGCCACAGGCAGAGGGGTCAGAGCCCCGGGTGCCCCGAGCCAAACCCACTCCAGCAGCCAAGCTTCTCCCAGGCCCGGGGCACCGAGGAGGGTGCTGCTCCGCCCACCCCCAGCCCGGCTCCCAGCCCGGCTCCCAGCCCTGAGCTGGCAGCCAGAGGCAAACAGGACGCCTAATAAGGCGGCTACTCAGCCGGGGTGTCCGTGGCCCCGCCCCTGCCGCCGCCCCCCTCCCCCACCCTGGCTCTGGGCTCCAGCTGCCTTGGAGGCGGGTCCCGCTGCCCAGGCACCCAGCCCCACCCCTCCCAGGGAGCCTCCCCCAAAGTACCAGGCCTGGGCACTGCTCCCTGCCCTGCTCGCTGCCAAGCCCCACCCTGTGGGTCCTCGGGGGGTCCCAACCAGCCAGAGCCCCAAGGAGTTCCAGCTGTCCTTGGGAGCCCAACCCAGGCAGGTGCTCGGCCACCTCCAGAGGGGGCCCCGGGTGACCCCACCTGCTCTCGAGCTCGGTCTCCCCCTGCGCCCAAAGAGCCTTCCTCCCACCCCAGTATTCAGCAAGGCCCAGGGAGTTCAGACCCTGCCTCCTCCTAAAAGCCCTCCTGGACCGCCTCCCCGGGGCCTGAGCTCATGCCCAGACTCCTTGAGGGTGGTCTTGCCGGCCCCCAACCCAGGGTGTCACCGCCTGCCCTGCGCCCCGAGGCCACTCACCCACGTAGAAAGTGCTGGGTGCGGGCCGGTCCCCCAGCTCCAGGTACAGCAGGTTGGTGGTCTTCGGGTCATGGCGCAGCCACAGGGCCACTCCCAGGATCACGCCTCCGGCCAGCTGGGGAGAGCGGGCGGCGTGACCAGGGGCCGGCGCGGGAGCCAGGCCACACCAGCAGGCGGAGGCGGGGAGCCGGGCACTCACGGGCACCCACTCTGCCGCCCTGGGCCCAGATGCCCCCACAGGCCTGGACCCAGGGGACCACGTGGCCACATGGGGTCCCAGGGCACAGGCTCGGTGGGGCCCTCCGCCGGCTCCACTGACGCTCCAGGGATGGTGCCAGCCCCGGCCAAGAGCGCATGTCAGAACCACCACCGCCTCCCCGGGTCAAGTGCCCCCGCTGCAGGGGGCGTTCTGCTCCCTGTTTATCTGAAGCTCAAGGTCAGCAGCTGAGCTGGCCTGACGCCACAGCAGATCCCAACGGCCCAGGGAGCACTGGGCCCTGCCCCACGGGGGCGTGACGGCCCCGGAGTCCCCAAGACTCCTGAGCCCACCTGGGGGCGCCCCAGGCCTGAGTGGGCTGGCGGAGGGAGGGACAGAGAGGGGGGCTGTGGGACAGAGCCCTGGAGGGGCGCTCCCCCGGTGGAGGCGGTAGAGCTGCAGGCGGGGCCTGCCCGAGCCTGGCACGCAGGGGCCGGCTGCAGTCTTCTCGCACGCCTGTGGGGCATCACAGTCTGTGCTGCGGCCTGCGGGTGCACCCAGGCGACGGCCAGCGCCAGGCCCCCCCAGCACCCGGCCTGCGTGCCCCTGGAGGTCGTCCAGGTGGGCAGCTGAGGGCTCGCCCCAGCCCCTGGGTCTCCAGGGAAAGCCCCGGCAACCCCGAGACCCTCCAGCCACTGACCCCAGGGCAAGGGTGGGGAGGAGCTGTGGCTGAGCACTCCCTGCCCTCTGGCTGCTGGCACCTCGCCCTGGAGCAGGCGCCTCGGCAGCCCAGCAAAGGTTCAACCTGGGCTTGGGTCTGGAGGGGCGGGTGCGCGCGGGGCCGGCCTCCCAGCCCGTTCTGTTTGGTGGGGCTGGGGCCCCTGGGTCCGCGGGGGCAGGGCGGTGGCCCCAGAGGGCTGGCTGCCATCTGCACTCCTGGGGAGGCGCGGCTGCAGGTTGCCGTGGCAACAAGGCTTCCTCCTGCAAGTCAGAAGCGACCTGAGAGCCGCCCACAGACCCTGCTCGGCCAGTGTGTCCTCAGCCGAGGGGTGCGCTGAGCTGCGGCTGCCCTGGCTCCCGGAGCTGGGGCACAGCCTGTCGGGGGCGCAAGGGCCTAGCAGGGGCGCCGGCCCCACCCCAGGCCAAGGGCAGGCTGCAGGCCAGCTGGTTCCATGCTATCTGGGGGGGCTGGGGAAGGCGGGGCAGTGCGGTGCCTGCACCCTCCCTGGGCCACCCGTGGTCACCCCGAGTCCGTTCCCTGAAGGGTGGCCCTGCCCAACCCTGCCTGCGGCCAGGGCTTCCCCCAACTTCCGGAAGATCCTTTAAATCTCAGCAAGACAACTCAGTTTAAAAAGCGGGTGAATGATTTGAAAAGACACGTCCCCCATGTACGGCAAGGGAGCCCCGAAGTGCCCCCCACCTACCATGGCAGCACAGACACGGGACCCCGCGGACCCCTTCCCGCGAGGCTGCCCAGAGAGGGGCCTGGAGGACATGGAGGGCCCCTCTGGACACTCGGCGGTGGAACCTCTCCCCCGTCGCCACCGCCCACCCCACGCGCGTCCTCACCCAGGGCCGCACACGCCCGCAGCCCTCCTTGGAGAGGCCCCGGTGGGAGCAGCTGGCTGAGCACCCCCCGGGGAATACTACGCAGCCAGGAAATGGGGGCGACGTGGCTGGCCCTCCAGGGAATGGTGGTAAAAGCACCAGAAGGAGCAAGACAAACACCGCACGTCTTCCGCGTCTGCGGGCGACAAGGGAACTAAGCTCAGGAGCAAACAAAGCCAAAACCAGCCCCCGGGGGGCAGAGACGGGAAGGGACGCGGGGCGAGCGGGAGGCCCAGAAGCGGCGGAGGGCAGGGCAGGGAAGGGGCGCCGGGAAGGCGGGCGCTGGCGGGGGGAGCCTCCGAGCTGAGGCCGCACCTTCCCACCCCACTTGCTTAGAGGTGAGACGCGCAGACCCCGACAGACGGGCCGCAGAGGCCGCCATCCCGGTAGGGGAAGAAGGCGGGACCCCGGGCCCGGGCACACCTCGGGGTGTCCTTTCAGTGGCCCCCGCGTCACAGGCGTCTGCTTACGTCAAACCGTGCCCGGTGACGCCAAGTGTGCGCGACTCCCCGCGCCAGCGAACCCCCACGACGCTGCTTAAAACCCCGCCCCACGCCCCTGAGGACTGGGCTTCGGAGCAGCAAGGCCGAAGTGGGGTGATGCCGAAATGGGGTGATGCCTCTTCCGGGCCCCAGGACCACGCCGGGCCGGCGGCACCCACGGGGCTCCCACGAGGCGCGCTGCCCGGCTGGCAGGTGGCCTGCGGCCAGCGGCTTCAGGGGCCACAAAAGCCGAGGCCGGGTCCGGCCCCGAGGCCTGGGGGAGGCAGCGGCCCGGGTGCGGGAGCAGGGCTGGGCCCGCGGGGCGCAGGGGTCGGTGGCCCCGGCCTGGGGTTTCTGTGCTGCAGGCTCGCCCTGCAGAAACACCTGTCAGCAGCAGGAGCGTGGAAGCGGGTGGCCGGCGGGGACCCGGCCCTCCCCGGGGACCCCCGCACGCCAGGGCACGGCCCGCCTGGCCGGGCTGGGGGGCGGCGGAGGAGTCCGCTACTGCACGGTCTTCCTCTTTCCCGAGGATGAATAAATAACAGTGTCGGTTAAAGAGGGGGGTGGGGTGCCCCCAGGCGGGGAGGCTGCCCTCCGGGCCGCCCTTCCCCTTCCCAAGCCCCCAGCCCCTGCAAGGGACAGAGGCGGACGCCCAGGCAGGCCTGCTCTCCGGTGCCGGCCCCCATCCTGGGGGCTCCCTCAGCAGCACCCACGAAGGGGCAGTGGGTCGGGCCACCCCCCACAGCTGGCCAAGAGGCCGCCCCGAGGCTCCCCTCAGTACAGGCGCAGAGTCGACCAGTGTGTCCACACCCCTTTCCACAGGGGCCGCCCAGGCCTGGTGCGTCCGGTCCAGACCCTAAGCGGCTGGGGCAGCAGGGGGCACCCCCACGCTTGCTGGGAAACCTGGCCAGAAAGTGCCCACGGGGCCCGGCAGGCGGAGGTCCTGAGACCCCAGGAGGGTCGTGAGGCAGAGGCGGGACGCGTGCCCAGGGCGGGAGAAGCGGGGAGCAGACACCTTGGGGGGGGGTCGGGTCCCTGCAGGCCGACGCTCTTGTTCACCCCCCTCGACACCCGGCCCCTCCTGGCAGGCCCTCTGGGGGGACGGCCGCCCCACCACCTGCGGTGACCCCCGGAGCATGGAGGGGGGCGGGCCGGGGAGGGCAGAGACCCCCGGCGCCTGCCGGGAAGCCAGGAAGCGGAAGCCGCCCTCCGAGCCTCAGGAAGCCTCAGGAAGCCGCCTGGCCCGACTAAAAATAGGAACCAGAGGATGCGCCTCTCTGCGCCCTGGGGCTGGGGGCGTCTCTTCCCACCCAGAGGGAGAGTGAGCAGGCCCAGGGAGCGGGCGGGCCACTCTGGGGTTCCCCACTCAGCTCCCCGAGGCGGCCAGGCCCTCCACAGTGAGCGCCGGGGCTGGCACCCTGGGGAGGGAGCCGCAGGTGGCGGGCGCAGGAGTGGGGCAGAGGGAGGGCCCAGGAGGGTCGGGCCCCGGCCTGGCCCTGGAACCAGCTCTCCACACAGCCCCGGGCTGGGGGAGCCCTGCGGTCACACCACACGGCTGCAGACCACAGCGGTTGGGGGGCGGGCGCTGGACCCCAGCCTGCTCCATCACTTGCTCCTGGGGTCTCGGGGGACCTCAGGGTCCTGATCACCCAGGGGACCTGGTAACAGCCGCGGGGCAGGCCGTGACTCCGGGCAGAGCAAGGACTCCAGAGGGTGTGGCCCGCCCAGGGAGCAGCTGTGTGGGCGCTTAGGGTGGGTGGGGCTGCAGGGGGGTTCCCAAAGCTGCTGTGGCCCAGAAACCCCACCCCGCAGACCAGCGGCTTCGTGGGGGCTCCGGCCTCGGGCGGGAAGGAGTGCCGACCCAAGCTGCCCCCCCCAGCCCCCCAGCGCCTGGAACCCCGGGCTCCACCTGCCCCGCCACCTGCGCTCAGCCGCGCACAGGTGCAGGCCGGCACCGGCGCAGCACCCAGCGCCCTCACATGTCCCCAGGGAGAGCCCTGGCCCGGCGGCCCCAGGTACCCCGCCCCCCCCACCACGGCTGCTTCCTGCTCTTCACCTCCTCTGGGTCGTTGCCACAGTAACGGGGCGGGGAGGGGAGCCCCGATCCCCCAAGGGCTCAGAGAAGCCCACTGCCGTGCCCCAGGGCTCCCCCACGGAGCCCCCAGCCTCTGAGCCCTCGGGGTGACCCCCGAGGTCACTGCTCTGTCCAGCTAACAAGGGAGACCCGCTGCCCACTCACTCATGGGGACTCCCCAGCACCTGGCACCCGCCTGGAGGGCCCCAAGGGTCTCGTGGGAATCTGCTCGGCTGGGCCCCGGCATGCGGGCAGCGTGGGGGGCCTCTGGGAGGCCCCAGGCCGGGCCCTTCACTGGCCCAGGGGCAGGTCTCAGCAGGAGGGCGCTGAGGGCCAACAGGGGACCAGCCAGGGCTTGGGGTGCCAGGGCCATGAACCCGAGCCCAGCTTCCCGCCCTCCCTTGGGCCTCTCCAGGACGCAGGGCGGAGCAAAGGTGACGTCTGCACCCCGTGTGCCTGGACTCTGAGCCGCATCGATTCTCCCCCAACAGGCTCCAGGGCGTGGGGGTGGGTTCAGCTCCCTGCCTGGACTTGGAAGCAGTTAGAAGCTGGGACTGGGGTGACCTCACCCCCAAGAGCAGAGAGCTGGGGTGGGAGGGGTGGGCCCGCGGGGAGGGAGCACCAGGGCCCCGCTCGTTGCTGCCACGCCCCCGGCCCAGCGGGGCCAGACCAGGAGCTTCCTCTTCTGGGCTTAGGCCGACAGCCCGTCCCCCAAAGCCTGACCGCCAGGGGTGTGCCCCCCCTCCCCGCCCCTGATGCCAGGCCCAGGAGAGCCCAGCCCACCCAGAGCCCCCGGGAGGAGCGGCACAGCCGGCCGGTGACAGTCATGTGCCGCCTGGAGGCGGGAGAGGAGCCGGCCTGGGGCCGCCACGAGGCCTGGAGCCTCGGAAGGGCTGGGGGGCCATCGCCAGGGTGCGGGGCGGGTGCCCAGGCCCCGCACACTCCAGCCAGGCCACAGGGTCCAGGGAGCCCCCGCTGCCCCCGGAAGCTATGCTCGCGCCTCCGCGGGGGCAGCATCAGTGCCCCCGGCTCGGCCCCCTGCTGCCCGTCCTAGGCCCAGCGCCCCCCACTGCCTCCTGCACAGCTGGGGAGCCCCGGCAGGCCTGGGGAGCTGGAAGCGGCCAAGAAGCCCCTTCGCTCGCCAAAACGTCCCGTTTCCAAGTCCCCACCGTCCACCTTCCCTCCTGGCTCTCACCCTCAGTGCCCCTTTCTGCCTGGTGGCCGGGGTGCCCTGGGGCCCCCTCCTCCCCCACCCCGGCCCCCAGGCCCCTGGGCAGCCTCCCAGGGGCTTAAAGTCCCTTCCCAAGGCACTGCCCGCCCTCGCCCCCCGTCTCCCAGCCCAGCATCCGTTGCTTGGGCTGGAACCCCACTATCCGGCAAGGACTCCTGCTGCCAACGTGGGGGGAGGACCCCCACTTTAGGGGGGACGCCAAGACAGGTGTCTAGCCAGCCCCACAGCACCGGGCAAGAAGGGTCCCCAGGTGGAACCTCGGCCTCCCCGGCTCAGCTCTGTCCCCCCACAGCAGGGCAGGGCTGGCCCGGCAGGCGCGGGGCCCCGGGGGGCTCGCTGGGCCAGGTACGGAGCTCGAGCCCCCGAGCCCCCCGCAGGCTGGGACGGAGGAGGGGGGCGCGGACATGTGTCCTCCAGTCTCAGCAAAGAGGGCCCTGGGGAAGCCACAGCAGCGAGGCGGGCGGCCCAGGACCCGCGGGCTGGGCTGGGGGGGCCAGGCGGGCGAGGGCCCACTCGGGGGGCTGCCCCCACCCGCAGCCAGTCCCGCTGGGGGGCCGGGGCCCCTCTCCCTGCCCGGGCCGGGTCCACATGGAGACACCCCAGCCCACACCTGCTGCGGGGGCCATTTTAAAAGTTTCCTCCCGGGCCCACCTGGGCGCACCCGGGCCGGGAGCGCCGGGGCCCGCGGGCCGGGAGCGCCGGGGCGGCCAGGAGGGCGCTCGGAGGGTTCTGGGCCCGCGGGCCGGGCCGGGCCGGGCCCGCCCCTCCCTCCCGGCCGCCCCGACAGGATGTGCACACAAAGGAGAGACTCGGGTCGGCCCCACCGCCGGCCCGGCCCGGCCCGGCCCGCTCGCGCGGCCCAGCGGAGCCTCCGCGCGCCACGATGGCCCGCGGGGGGCAGCTCTTCCCGGGGGGGGCCCAGGGCCGGCCCCCCGCGGCTCCGGCCACGTCTCCGGCCAGCTCGGGGGGCGCCGAGCCGCCCAGGCCCGGGGCGGGTGGGGGGCAGCCTGGCCGGGGGGGCGGCGCGGCCCGGGACCCGGGGGGGCCGGTCCCCGCGCTGGACGCGCCCCCCCGCCCGCGGCTGCCCCCGGCGCCGGCGCTGAGCTCACGGGGCGGGGCGCCCGCAGCCCCGCCCGAGCCCCCCCGGGCGCGGAGAGCGGGGTCGGCGCCATCCCCGGCGCCCCGGAGCCCCGCCGGCCGCGCGCAGACGCCCCGAGCCGGCCCGCCCCCGCGGGGAGCCCCGGCCCCGCCCGCGCCCACAGGTGGCCCCCGGCTCCGCGGCCCGGCGCCCCCCGCCCGGCTCACCCAGAAGACGAAATTGAAGACGAAGAGCAGGTACTTGATGCACTTGGTGCAGCCCTCCACCCCCATGGCGGCGCGGGGGGCGCGGGGGGCGCGGGGCGCGGCGGGGGGCGCGGAGGCGAGGCCGGGCCGGGCCGGCGCGGGAGTCGGGCCTGGGCGCTCGGGATCCTCGTCGCCGCTGCGCGCTCGCTCTCTGGCCGGCGCGCGCCCCGCTCGTGCGCCTTAATAACAGGGCGCGCGCCCCGCCCCCCGCCGCGCCGCGCCCCGCCCCGCGCCCCGCCGCGCCCCGCCCCCGCCCGCCCCTCCGCCCGCCCCTCCGCCCCCCCCCCCGCGGCCGGGCCCCGCGAGCGCTCGGGGTGTCGACCCGCCGCGCCCGGGACCTGCAGGCCCGGCTTGGTCTGGCACCACGCGCGCCCCCGAGCCCGCGGCGGCCGGAGCCCCGGAGGCGCCCGAGCAGGGCCTGAGGCCCGCCCGCCCCGGGCTTCCCGGAGACCTGCGCGCTCCCGGCTTCCCTCCCCCTGGGGCCGCCGGAGGGCTTCCCGGAGGAGGCGGTGCCGGCGTGGCTGCCCCGGCCGGTCACAGGCGGGCGAGGGGAGGGCCCCCCACCCCCGCCATCTCCGCCCCCCGCCAGCGCTCGCTTCACCGGGGGAGACACCCCAGTGGGCAAGGAGGCCCAGAGTCAGAGACCCCCCAAGATCCTACAACACCTGATTCCGGGCAGCCAAGCCCCCGCCTGGAGAAAAGGGGCTGCAACCCCTCGCAGAAGGCCCCTGTTTGGAAAGGTCGCTGAGGGGGTGCCCCGGCTGCTCAGGGAGCGTCCAGAGGCCCCACCCGCGGCGGGAGGCCCTCCACGTGCCGCGCTCCGTGCTGGTGGGCACCACGCGGCCCCGCTCTCCTCCTGAGGCTGTGGGGTGGGGCGGCCTGGGGCCTGGGCTAGTGGGGTGGCCGCAGGAGGAGCGCCGCCCAGAGAGGGCCGGACGCCGACCCACGGATCAGCAGGCCCGGAACACGATCCTGAGCCGCCGAGCATGGCCGGGCGGCCTGGACCCGGGTCCCGTCGTGGCTCTTCCCAACAGCGCACGCCCGGCCGCCACCCTGGGCTGGTCTGTGCTCTGCCGGCGCGGGGGCCTCTCCCCGTGTCGCGTGTGCGAGAGCCCCGCAGGCCTCGGGCGCGTCTGTGTGTGTCCCGGTGGCGCTGGAATGAACGTAGCGAAGGCCCCTGTGTCCTCGGAAGGGTCTCCACGAAAGGCCAGCTGCAGAGCGGGCTTCCAGCCTGAGCACACGGGTGTCCACGCGTCCTGGGGTCCCTGCGCCCTGCAGCTCCCCAGCGTCCACAGTGACAGGGACATTTCCCGCCCAGGCGTGCTCTGTGGGGTGGGGTGGGGTGGGGCGGCCAGACGCCGGGGCCAGGGCAGCTGGAGACCGCAGGGAGCGAAGTCCTGGCTCCCAGGCTGACCGCACACGGGGCGGCCGCACAGCGGGGGCTCGCGGGGGAACGCGCCCTTCTGGGGCCGGCACCTCTGGGCTCGCACCGGGAGCCACCTCTGCCGTGTCTGGGCCAGCAGCCCCCCGCCTGGGGCCAGGGAGGCCGTGCGGGAGCCCGGCAGCAGATCAGCCAGACCTCGCGCCAGGCAGGCGCCACGGGAGATGGGGCGGACGTGCTGGGAGAGGACGTGGCTCCTGCGTTGCGGAGCCCCCGGGAGGCCGGGGTCTGGGCAGTCCGACCCCGGGTGAGGGTGGAAGAGGGGGTGTCCCAGCCGCGCCCCCTCCGCCTTTGGAGCCGGCCAGCCCTGGGTGGACCCGGAGGGCGCGCCACAGACGGAGTCGTGACCCGAATACTCGCCCCACCTGGAATCCCGTCCCGGACGCCCCCAGGCCAGTCATGCCCACGCGGCGTGGCCCCGCGGGCAGCGAGCGCATAATGGTGCAGGGGGGCGCCGGGGCCGTGTGAAAGGCGCCTTGTCTCTGCACACCAGCGCTTCAGTCCGGCTCTGGGGCTCAGGCCAGGCACCCAGATGGGCTGCGTTGGCGCGAGCCGGGAGGGGGCTGGAGCCCTGACCCCACGGGAGACCCACCCCACGCCCTGCCCGCGGCACGGAGGCCGACGGAGACCAGCACGGCAGCCGCTGCTCAGCCGGGCTGGGCCGGGCCCCCCGCGTGATGTCCTCAGCTTCCCGCTGCAGTGGGCGGTGCGGGCGGTGGCGGCTGCAGGGCCCGGCCTGGGCAGCAGGAGCCATCGCCTCTTCTGCGGGGCGGACCTCGCGGCCAGGCGCGGGGCCAGGGGCCGGTGACTCATGCCATCACGGGCACATATTCACACATTCTGTTGGGGGGAAATCGCCGAACCCCGCCCTGCCCCTGCCTCGATTTCCTGCGGAAACAAACGAGGACCTGGCAAATGACAGGCAGCCGCCGGCAGAGCTCCCCCGGCAGGGCCTGGGGCTGCCCCCAGGGAAAAGGCAGGTGTGACCCCAGGGCCAGACCCGCAAAGAGCGCCCCCTGCAGCCCACCTCCCGCAGGGCCAGAGCTCCCCCGCACCCGGCACGAGGATGCCGCCTTCCCTGACAGAGGACGCCCCCAAACCACTGCTGCCCACCATGGCCGAGGACCCGGCCTGCTCTGGTCCACTCGCTGCGCCCTGGACAGGGAGACCCCAGGGTGTGTGGGAGGCAGAAGTGAGCTCTCTCTCGAGTGACTGGCCTTGCATGCGGGAGTCCCCGAGAATCCCACCCCCGGAGGGTCAGGCTGCAACCGGCAGGCGCCAAGCAGTGGGCGAGGCCGGCCTGGCCTCTGCGCGCGAGCGCTGACTGCCCGCGGAAACGAGGACGCCCCCCGTGGTGCCGGCAGCCGAGAGACGTTGTGGGGCGGGGGGCAATGTAGCCAAAGAAGTGTACGGTCTGAGCACCAAAAACTGCAAAACATGTTAGAGAAATTAAAGCTGGAAGCACAGGGACGTGGTCCGGGTCAGAGACCTGCTCCGCGACCCGCTGCGGCAGCCGCCCCAGCCCCACCGCCTCGCCACACGCTCACCCTGGCCTTCGCCTGGAAATGCCCAGCCCGCAATAGCCGAAGCCACCTGGAGATAGCCCCGGAGGCCAGGCCCGGCGGGACTGTGGGCTGGCGCTGCCCGGGCGGGGAGACCCCGGGCGGGGACGGCCAGGCAAGCCCCCAGCCCTGTGTCTCGGCGGAGGCAGCGTCCTGCCAGCGGCCAGCCCTCACGTTCCCTCAGAGCTTGCTGCAAGTGGGGCCCCCCGAGAGCTGGCTCCCGGGACCCCTCGCCGAGGCTGGTGCCCCGGCCCAGCAGCTGTCCCAGCACAGCCCGAGGGCCGCGGGGTCCACGGGGGGCTCCGTCTCCCTGCAGCACGGGGCGGGGTGCGGGCCGTGAGAAGCCTGGAGGGACCCGCCGCGAGCAGCCGTCGGCTCTGCAGCAGTCTCGCTTTGACTCAGAATCGAGCAAAACATAAAAACAGATCAACGCCCACGCAGGCGTCGGGGAGCGCACCAGGGCCGTGTCGCCCTGGTCGGCCTGGCTAGGGGTCAGGGGTCAGGGAGGCCTGTGGGCAGGCCCCTCGGAGGCGAGAGTCGACCCCCGGGGGGCTGGGGCAGGGTGGGGGAGCCCCTGCGGCAGGTGCGCATGGAGCCCTGCCTGCTGCCGAGCGGGCGCACTGCTGGGCGTGCTGGCTGAGGATAAATGGAGGGGCCGTGGGGGGGAGCGGGTGGGCCTGGGCGCAGCTGCCCCTCAGGCTGCCGGCTGGGGTCTGCACAGTTCCCCAGAACTGGTGACTTGTGGGGTGACCTGTGGGCTGTCCCTGGACCGAGGGCCGCGTCCCTGGGCCCCTGGCTGCGCCGGGCTGGGAGAGCCCGCCTGGGTGCCGGCAGCTGCAGGCCAGGCCCCGGCCAGGGGCTTCCTCATTGCTGATTCTCAGTCCACATTTCAACGCCACTCAGTGTCCACTTTAAATGAGGGCATTTTATGGAACGTGAAGTAGTGGGGAGTGGCACCCCAAGAGACGCGTCCTTGGCCTAGGTATCACCTGAAGTGGATCACTCTGAAGAACCAGCGCCCCGGCCGTGCCCTGGAGCCCAGCGTGGCACTTGGTGAGAGACACTCGCTCGTGCCAGGGCCTCCGGGTGGACCAGGCAGCCTAGGCCGCGTCCCAGGAGGGGCAGCGGGCCCTCAGCTGCCTCGCCAGGCCAGAGCTGCCCTTCGCCTGCAAGGCTTGTTCCAGAGCAGCCACAGGCAGTTTGGAGGGTGCCGTGGGGCGGCCTTCGGGCCATGGGCCTGGCCCCGTGGGGCAAGGACTCCGCCTCCGTCGGTCAGGGCGGGCGGCAGCCCCCTCCCCGGGGAGACGCCAGGCACGTGGGCCAGCAGTTTGCAGACCACGAGCGAGACGCCCCCTCGTAGCCGCTGACCCCAGGGACAGCCCCCGTGGGAATGGCCAGCTGCCCTCCCTGTCCCGGCCCCCCTCAGCGGCGGGGCCCGTCACCCGGAGCCGCCTTTCCCGAAACATGCTGCGGCGCGGGCCCCTTTGTCTCCCAGATTTCTCTGCCCCCGAGAATGCCCCGTCCCCCAGGTCCCGCCCATCCTCAGCTCGGGGTGCGGTGGGTCTACGCCTCGGTTTCCAGGCTGGCTCTGGAGCCCGGCGTCCCAGCGGCTCCCGCGCACGCGGGATTAGACGGATCGTCTGCGGCGAATCCGCGTCCTGTCCGTTCACTGTCCGGCCAGCCCCGGGCGCCCACCGCGCGGGAGGAAAACCCCCCTTCCCGCGAGCGTGTGCCGGCCGGGGCCTGGGGCCTGGGGCGCCGGCGCGGTGGACGGAGTGGGGTGCCCGTCGGAGTGGGGAGCCCCCGGCATTGCTTCGGGCGGACTTGCCTCTCTCTGGGTGGTCCTGAGTCGGGGCAAAAGGGAAGCGGGCGGCGGTGACGGGGCCGGCCGCACGCCGAGTCTTCGGGGCCGAGTGTGCTCAGAGCGCGGCGGCCTGCGTGGGGTCTGCCCCGGCTGGGCCCTCCAGCTTGGCCGGCAGAGGCGGGAGCACCACAGGCGGCAGGGGGTGGGGGCGGCCGGGGCAGGCCTCAGCAGTCCGCTGCCCTCCGGTGAGCTGCAGGGCGGGGGAGGACGGGCTGGTGCAGGGACCAGGAGGCCACGGTCCCCAGCGGGGCAGACACTGCGGCCTGTGAGTGGGAGGAGGCTGTGCTGCTGGGGGCGGACCCCTGTGGGCCCCCGTGCTGCCTGCTGGGGAGGAGGGGCTCTGGCCCTGGGGCGATGGCCTTGAGGGGCCTGGGTGCCCCTCGGCTGCCCCACCACCACCGTTGACTTGGAGGTGGGGGTGCTGGGAGGACACACAGACAGTGCTGCTTCCCAGAGTGACCAGCTTGCCCTGGGCTGCACCCACCCGGCCAGGCCTTGGTGTCGGCTCACCCTGCTTCCCCCCACCCCCCAGCCCAGGTGGGACCCAGGCCTCCCTCGCCTTCAGCCCTGGCCCTGTGGTGTCTCCGGCCTGCCCCCCAGCCAGCGGCTCCTGGGGCCTGGCCCTGCTCGCGCTGGCCGCTGCCGTAGCACCTCCTGTCCCCTCCTGGTGCAGGGCCAGGCCAGGAAGCCACGTCCGGCCTGGGGCCCAGGAGGGGGTCTCGCTGTCGAGTGCTCACTCGGAACTGGGGAGGGGCCTTGCATCTGGGGAGGCCCCCGCGAGCTGCTGGGAGGCTGAGTCCAAAGCTCAGAAGCTTGTTTGCGACCAACGGGCACCTGGGCCGGGAGTCGGTGGGGGCTGGGGCCGGCAGGCCCCGGAGCGCTGGTGGCCGCAGAGGCCAGGGTTGGGGTGTCCATTGTTGATGTTTCCTGTCCAGGGCCTGGCGGCTCCGGGAGCGGAGGAGGGGCCGGCAGGGGCTGGCTGAGGGTGACGCAGCCGTGGGGCGGGGGCGGCTCTGTGTCCACCCCCCACCCGGGCTGGGCAGGGCTGCCCGGGCTGTCGTCTGGCTAAGGGCGAGGCCTGACCCATGGGGTCTGGGCCGGGGTCTCCGCCCGCCCACCTGCCCTCGGCCTCTCGCTTCTCAGCCCACGCTCAGGCTGCTCCTCAGCCTTGGCACCAGATTCCTTCCCCAGCGGCCACCACGGGCAGTGCCCCTGCCCTGGAGCACCAAGGCACTGGGGAGCTGCCCCCTGAATCGCCCCCACCCCACCCCTGCAGCCCACCCCGGAGAAGGTGCTCACCCAAACTAGAAACGCTTCCCCACGTTCTGGGGGGATCTCTGTGAACCCTTTGGGTCTGGCAGGTTTGCGGGGAGGAGAAAAGACGGCCCCGTCCCGCAGCTGGAGTCGGGCCCCAGCCGTCCACGCTCACTCCTGCGTCCGGCCGCTCTGCCGGCCTCTGCGCCTGCGCCCCGGCCGGCCACCCTCCTCAGGCCGCGGCCGCTGCACATCTTCTCACCGAGGGCGGCGCTGGGGGCCTCGGGGGCAGCAGCCCTGCGTTGTCCTGAGGGGCATGACCAGACTCCGCCTGTTTGGGGTCCCTGCTGGCGCCTGCGTGTCTGGGGACAAACAGCCCAAGGCGACCGCAGAGGCTGTGGGGCTCCACTGTGTCCACCGTGCGGCCTCCTCCGCTGACCCACGCCCGGCTGGGGACAGCAGGCAGGCCCAGGGGCTCCTGAATGGCCGGTGCTCAGTGAGCCCCGCTCCGTCACGCGGCATCAGGCTGGTCAGGACAGAGCCTCACGATGCCCACTACCCGGGTGACGCTGCACCTCCAGTCTAACCCACCCCGCCCAACGGGGCCTCGGCTGAGACCCGCAGCCCAGCGTGGAGCTGGTTCTGCTGCCGTGTGTGGGGGCCCCTGCGGGGCCTCCGAGGGCTGTGCCCCATGGGGCCTCCACACCAGCCCAGGACTGCCACCCGCGGGCGGGGTCAGGGGTCCAGCCAAGATCTCTGCCTTCACGGCCGCCCACGGGCTTCCTCTGGGGGCCCCAGCCCAAGATGCCCGCTGCCCCTTCTTGATGGGGACAGGACGTGCTGCGGGCTTGGTGCCGCAAACCCTGACCCAGGGCCGTGCCCCTAGCCCAAGGGGCCCCGGGGCTGGCCCAGCGGCCGCGGTGGGCTCGGACCCTGAGTTTGCATCGGTCAGGGGTCTGCGGAGACAGCCCCGAGAGATGAACACGCACAAGGGGCTTATTCCGACAGCCGGCGTGTGGGGTGACGGGCCTGCGGCCCACGGGCCCCGACGGCGCGGGTCCACACTCAAAGCCGGGAGGACATGTCCCAGGCCGGCTGCCGGGCAGAAGCGCACGCGTGCCCGACCCCTGCCCCCTTCGGGCCTCAGGAGGATCCGGGCGGCCGGCCTCTGCGCTCGGCTCACCCTGCAAATGCTGGGCGCACAGGCGAACGCGGGGGGCGCCCTGCTTCTCCGCGCCGGCCGCAGGGAGAGAAGACGCGGGGAGAAGCACACGGGACAGACGCCCTCGGGCTCTAGGAAGGGCGGCCGTTCTGGGCCCCGTCCTGGGGCTGGCGTGGCTGCGGGCTCTGGCCGAGACTGCCAGTCGCCCCATGCAGCTCCTCAGGGGGCAGGAACACAGACGCGTGCCGGGAGGAGCTTTTAATGAAGCCGCCCCGAACGGCGTGCTGCAGGGGCCACACGCGCTTCCGTCGTCTGCTGCGAAGGGCCGCCCTGCCGAGCCCCGGCCCGAGGAGGCGCTGCGAGGGCTGCGAGGGCCTTTCTTCCCCTTTCATGGAATCTGCCAGGGAACCAAGCGTTTGTTCTCTGGTCTCTCTTTATCACGGGGTCTTCGGTCACCGAGGCGAACCCGGCCCTGTGGGTTTCAGGCGCTGAGTCCCCCCCAGGACGACGTGAAGCTTCTCTGGGCGCCTGTGGAATCCTTGGTGCTCGGCTAATGCCTAATCAGGCATCGTTTGGTGATAAGCGCCCGTGTCGCGTGGTCAGGCTCTTTAACATCTTTTATGCTTTCCACGGACTTCCCCAAATCCAATTCTAAACGGAGACTTGACGTAGAGACGCTTTCCAGGAACTCTGGAAATCCCCAGGAGGCCCGTCCTCCCTCCTCGCGGAGAGGCCGGAGCAGGCCAGGCCTCCGGGCGCTGGCGCGGGCAGTCTGGCGCCCGCGGTGTGCGGCTGCGTGTTCCGAGGCGGCGAGAGCTCCCGAGCATGCTCTGGCCGGCAAGTTCCTTCAGATCCCGCTGCCCGGTCTCCCCCGCCGCCAGCGCGAGCCAGGCCGAGTCCCGGCCCGGCCCCCGGGCCGCCTGTCCTCGGCAGACGCTGTCGCTCGTGGCGGTGTCGTCCGCGGGCGCCCGGAGGCGGCCTGGCCGGGGCCTCGGCACGTGCTGCCGGGTGCGGGTTTGTCCCTCAACCGGGCTGGGTAAGAAGGTCCAGACCCGGGAAAACTGGATTCGAGAAGCCAGGGACGCGGATCAAGACCCCGGACGTGGCCGGGCGCGCCGCGGGGAGAGCCGGTTTACGGCGTTGTGTCCGAGGCGGTCATGCGCTCGCGTGCCTCCGTTCTCCAGGGTTCACAAACACCCCCCTTTCCTTTCCTTTCCAAGCCAGGACCCGCCACGCTTTGGTAAATTAAACCTCGCGTGGGCCGAAAGGAAAGGTTATCTGCTCCCTCGAGGGGGGAGTGTTCGTTTTCCCTCCCCGCGACGGGTTCACTCCCGTGACTTCAGGAGGCGTCTGTCTCCGCACAGCAGACGCCACGGAGGCGCCCCACGCACACGCGCACCCCGCGGGCTTGCCCGGAGTGCCGTGTCGGTGGGCACATCGCGCCGACGTGGCCGTAAGGAGGAAGCCTGACTTGATGGAACGACCGTGAAGAAACCGGCCGAGACCTGCTCACGGGCTCTCAAGCGCCCCACCCCGCTCTCCAGGTTGCCGAGCGCGGCAGGTGGCAGCGGGGCTCGATCTCGGGGCGCCGCTGCGCAGGAGGGGCGGCGGGGTGGGCTCGGGACCTGGGCCGTGGCTGCTGCGTCGGGAGCTCCCCCGCCGAGGAGGGCGTCTGCTGGGGACCGGGTTGCTGTGGCCGCCCCTGCTTGCCGGTTGCCAAGAAGAGCTAGGGCGTCGGGGGCGCCATGGGGGTCGGACGCAGCCCAGCGGGTGGCGGGGGGGAGCAGGCAGCACGTACAGGGACGCTGGGCAAGGAGAACCCCGGGGTTCTGGGCAGCTGAGCGTCCCCACCCAGTGTTCAGTGCTGACCTCCAGGCACAAGGACGGGGGCAGGCCCAGGGGTGAGGCTCCGCGGCCAGTGAGAGCAGGACCTGGGCTTCTGGCTCTGCCCTGACAGCTGGGGGCAGGGGGCTTGGGGGAGGGCTGGGGGCGTTGTGGGGGCCGGGGGAGGGCAGTGGGGGCGGGGGGCCAGGGGGCTGGGAAACTGCCGTAACTGAGGAGACAGGGTGGATGCAGGGCTCGAGTGATCTCAGCCTTGCAGAGGGCGATGAGGGCCCCTGTGGAGAGGGGGCCCTGGGGTGTCTCGGTGCTGGGCAGTGCCCCCAGCTGCCGTGGCGTGGCCGGCCCTGCTGGGGACGCCGGCCGGGCAGCCGGGTGAGGCCGGACGGGGCGGCGTCCAGGCGTGTCCTGTGTGCTCCCCGGGCAGCACGAAGGGCGTGGAGCCCAGCGGAGAATCAGGCGCCAGAAGCGGGCGCCACGGGGAGCCGCAGGAGGGGTCTCAGCCCGCCCCCATGCCGCACGGCACCCCCGTGGGCCCATCTGGTGCCGGGAGACCCTGGTTGCGGGCTGACTGTGGCGGTGGCACCGGTGGGCGAGGGGCGGCTCCTACGTGGGTTTGGAGGCGGGTCCTCCTGCCTCCAGGGCCGTCCAGGCTGGGGCCGCTCGGGAGGGGGTCTGCGTGGCGGGCGCCCCGTGGCAGCAGGCGGGCAGTCTCCCCCCGCGACCCGTGGGGGCCGTGGCTCCTGTGCCAGGGGACCCGGGGCACGAGGAGGGCCGCCTGCACCAGCCCCCTGGCTCGGGGACCCTGGCCGCGGCGCCCGCAGTGGACACGCCATGAGCTCAGAGGCGCGTGTGCAGCGTGAGCACGTGTGTGAGCCTCGGGCGTGTTACTGCAAGGCTGCACTGGCCGCGGGGTCACTGTCAGGCGTCCAGCATGGGGGGTTCTTGCTTTAGAGGAGCCCCTCTGTGGGACTTGAGGGGGCAGCCAACCCCCCTTGGAAGTGGAAAGGGGCCCCTGACCTTCCCTTCTCCTTTGTCGGCCCCTGGGGGCCGGGGCTGGATCTTGAGCAGAGGACCCCGCGGGGCAGAGAGACTCCCCAGAGCAGGACTCCAGGGGTCACGGTGACCCCAGGGCAGGGCCCGGGGAAAGGAACAGAGTGGCCCAGAGCATGGCCACCGTCACATCACTGCCCCCAGCACAGCCTGGACCCCGCCCGCGGCCTGCGAGCCAGGCCCTTCTCCAGAGCCTGCGGGGCTGGGGCGGGGGACAGGCCGCCCGGACGTCACCTTGAGGCACCCTCCGCGGCAGCCCGCAGGCTACTCAGCTGCCCTCTGCCCGGCCTGTCCCCCTGGACACCCTCCGGCTGCTTACACAGGCCTGTTGATCTGGGGGCCTCCGTCCCACCCCACCCCCGTAGAGGGACCAGCTCTCGCCCCCTTAAGGACAGCCCATGGGTGGACAGGCCGCGGGGCGAGCCTGCGCGGGGCTGGACAGTCGTGCCGCAGATCTGCTTCCGTCGGGCCTCGCAGCCCGCTGGGCGTCCGCAGGAGCTGGGCTGCGGCCGGCACTCGCGGGTTCTGGGGAGCAGAGTGGGCTGAGGCAATTCTTGTGCAAGGGGTCAGGCAGGGTGCCCGGCAAGGAGGGCCCAGATGGCCAGGACAGAGGTGGGCAGACGGGGTGGCAGGCAAGCAGGGCCGGGAGTGCCAGTGGGCAGGCTGGCTCTGGGCCCTCCTTGTTCCCTAAACGTGGGAGCCCTGGGGGTCCCTAAGATCAAAAGTCTGGCCTGGGGCTATAGTTTTGGGGCGCAGGAGCTGCCCTCTGGGGTGTCAGTGGCATCATGAGGTCAGGTCTTGGCAGGGATTGGGGAAAGCAGGGTCCCGTGTTGGCCTCAGAAGAGGGTATGTGGGGTCGGGCCATTCTCCAGGCCCTGCTTCCACAGGCTGGGCTCCCCAGAGGCCGGCAAGGGCTGACCGCTGGCTTCCCCCCAACTCAGGGCTGCGGGACCCATGGGGAGAGGGTGGAGGGGCAGGTGGGGCCTACCTTGATTTCAGGGTGTATTTGCCTTTGCGGTCCAAGCTGTAGCCCGCGCGGATGGCGAACCAGAGGAAGGAACTGAGCAGCATGGCGTAAACCTAGGGGTGCGGGAGCTGAGCTGAGTGGGGTACACCTGGGGGGCAGGGGCTGAGCAGGGGGGATGCAGGGAGGAGGGGTGTGTGTGTGGCTGAGCAGAATGGGATGTGCCGGGGGGGGGCAGGGGCTGAGCAGAGGGGGTGCACGGAGGGTGGGGGCCAAGCAGAGTGGGGTGCATGGGGGGGAGGGGCTGAGTCGAGAAGGGAGGGGCTCCTCCCTGTTCCCCCGCAGACCAGCAGCCTTGGCGCCCACCCGCCCTTCCATGTGGGGGTGGCGGGTCCGGATGGGTGCAGTACCGTGCAGGCCAGGCCTAAGGTGGTCAGCGCGGAGGCGATGGTCGCGTGGGTCCTCAGGAAGCCCCGGATGCGTGACAGGCAGCCCTGGAGAAGTCGGCGCATGTCCCCTCCTAGCCGGCGGGAGCGGCTCCGCCCAGGGCTGCCAGCAGCGCCTGCGCCCTCGCGCCAGGCATGACCCCCAGAGCCGGGGAGAGCTTGGCGCGAGGGCACAGGCCTGAGGCCCAGGGGTGCCTTCCTCTAGGTGTTCCCTGCGCTGTCTGGGGTAGAGACATGAGGCCACCCCGACTTCTCGCCCCTTGCGTGCTGCTGACCCCCCCAGCACTCTAGCAGGGGCCTTCGGGGCCAGCTCTGCGCCCCCTTGCTGGGCCCAGGGCCGTCTGTGCCCTCCTGGGGATAGGATGGGCCTGTTCCTGGAGGCCGGGTGGGACTGGGTGGGGACTGAGGGGTGGCAGGGGAGGGGCTTCCAGAGGCCTCTTGCCTGCCCTGCCCCCGCCCCCTTAGGGGTGCTGGACTCTGCGGGGCGGCTGCCCACCTCCCCGCCCCAGACCCAGAGCTGCCCGCCCGCCTGCCACCCCACCCCTGTGCTTCTGGCCCTGGGCCTGTGCTGAGCCCCCAGGCCTGGAAGCGCCTGAGGGGGCGCAGGGCCCGGCCCACATCAGGGTCATGCTCGCCAGTCCCCTCACCTGCCGCGCCGCCTCTGGGCCCTGGCACAGGTGGGCGTCCGCGCTCCCCAGGAGGCCGAAGGGCGAGCTCTTCCCGCAGCACAGGAACTGCAGTGACAGCGGACACAGCTCGTCCCGGGCCCAGCGGCCTGGCCGAGGCGCAAAGACGCCCAGTGACCGGAGCGACACTGCTGCCCCCCATGCCACCCTGGGCTTTCCTGTCAAAGCGGCTTCACCACATGGCCCTGACCGCCCAGGAGGGCCCCACCTAACCTGGCTGCCGCCATCCGACCCGCTTTGCCCTGTGTGGGCAGGGTTTCTGGGTGCACAGTGGCAGCCTGTCTGGGCAGGGGGGACGCTCGCCCCCGCAGAGGGCGTCAGTGGCCTGTCGTTTGCTCCCCTGCCCGGCGCCTGGACCAGCTCTGCTGACTCTGGGGCCTGTGCCCGAGTGGGGAGGCCGACAGCCGAGCCACCGGCGGGGCCGCTCACCGTGTCCTGGACGGCCACCAGCTCCCGGCTCGGGGCTGCGGGCGAGCGCCTCAGGGCCCGGTCGTACAGCAGGTCGTAGGCATCCAGGGCAGCGTCTTCCACCTGAGGGCGGCCGGCGGGGGCTGGGGGCGGGGCTGCACTGGAACCCGTGGGGTTCCCCGAGGCGGGTCCCACCCCGGAGCTGAGTGCCCCAGTAGGTCCCCCGCCTCCTCCCAGGAGAGCTCCCTGGGGGCCTGGTCTCAGGAGATCCCCCCAGACCTCAACTGTGGGCCTCTCCCCCAGAAGGCTGGCTGATGCCACACCCCTGCCCCCGGCCCGGGGTAAGTCAGAGCCCAGCTTGCCTGCCCCGCCTGGCTCCTGCACGCGTGGGGGTCGGGGCCTGGGGGGTCCCCTGCTTCTGTTGACCGGGAGCCCGGGGCAGACCAGGCTGGGCGGTTATACTCTGGTGGTCTCCAGGGCCGCCCAGCACAGCACGCTCCCGAAGTGTGGCAGCTGGCTCCAGGCAAGGCCCTGGTCGGGGCACTCGTGCCCAGGGAGGGCTCTGGACAGAGGCGCTCCCCAGGCAGACCGTGGCGAGGAGGCGGCCAGCCCCGTCCTCACGCCACACCCCAACATCACCCAGGCCTCGCTGTCTCTGTCCTTGTAAGCACCCCGTCCTTTGTTTACACAGCACCCCCGAGACCAAATGCCCTCCCTGGACCAAGCTACTCCTTCAAAGACCAACTGGAACATCTCCCCTTCCAAGAAGGCTTCCCAGACTGCCACGGGGCCCCGGGGCTCCTGTCAGGTCCAGTGTCCACCTCGAGACCCTGAGCCCTCCCTGCTGGGCTGTGCCCCCGAGGGCTGGGGTATACCAGAGGACTCAGGCTGGCTCTGCCCCTCACGCTGCCTTCTGGGAAGGAAGGTGGCGGTCCTGCCGCCCGGAGGACTCGGGTGAACAGGCAGCAGGACCCTCGCAGGCAGCCCTGTTGCAGCCCCAGTCCCGCCTCCAGCACTAAGGGGCTGCATGGCCCTGATCCGGGCTCCCTGCCTACTCTTAAGTCCCCCCAGAGCTCCTGGGGGTGACCCCAAGAGGAGGATTCAGAGCCAAGGACTTAGGGTTCCTGGGCTGCTGACCCCTCTTTCTGCCTGAACTCACCCTGCCCTGCCCACGTGGTCGGCTCCGCCTCCTGGCTGTGCCCAGGCCTGCTGCCAGCCCCCAGGACCACCGGGCAGGGCCCAGCCGTGAGAACAGGCAGACCCCAGAGCCGCCTGCGCCTCACCCGCACATGAATTATTCAGGGACCAGCTCGTTCCTGGCGGATGTGGCTGCGGGCCAGCGGGCACAGAGCTGTGGGCGCGCGCTTGGGCTGTGGTCAGTAATGAGTAGCCCTGGGGCTGTGCTGGCCGCAGCCCAGCCCTGCCAAGGCCGAGCGGCCCCAGGGACTGGCAGCCGGGTCCGGAGTGGCGGGCGGTGGGGCGCCCTCCGTGCTGGGCCTGGCCATGGGAGGAGCCGCTGGCCCTGTGCTCAGGCTCCCACGGGGGCTGGCCCTGTCTGACCCTTGCCTGGGGTGTCTCGGGGGCCCCTCGGGCAGGTGCCGGGGAGCAATGGGGGTGAGTGGGTCTGGGCGGGCGCCGGGCTCCTGACACCACCCCCCAGAGGAGAGGGCTTGGGCTGGCCGGCAGGGGCTGTTCGGCTCCAGGCCAAGGGGTTTGCCTGCCTGCGTCAGGGCGGGGCTGGGCCTGCCCCCTGCTCAGAGGCTCAGACCTGCTGCCCACAGGGGCCTGGGCAGCTCAGGCCCCGTCTACTCGGGGAGGGCGTGTGGGCAGGGCGCAGGCGGCCCCACTAAGCTGGAGCACAAGCTATTGGGGCGGGGGTGCAGCTGCCTGCAGGGGAGCCAGACGGGCAGACCCCAGCCCAGGCCCTGCGCTGTGACCCCGACCTGGAGGGCCCCTGTGTGGCAGAAGGGCCAGGAGTCCAGACGCGTCTGCCTGACTGTCCCCAGGCCCCAGCCTGCCCCAGCCCTGGGAGGGCGCAGGGCGGGGGTGGAGGCGGGCGGGGGTGGAGGCGGGGCGTGCTCACCGGCATGGGGGTCTGGAACCGCCAGAAGGCCACGAGCACCAGGGCGCAGAACACCAGCGCGAAGCACAGGAAGCCCTGTGGGGGCGGGCGGGTCACTCCAGGCGCTGCCCCTGGCCGATGCCCCCCTGACCTGGTGGCCTGGTGACCGGCCCGCAGGGGCCACCTGCCTGTCCTGGGCGGGGCAGCCATCCTGCGGTGGGGGTGACAGGGCACATGCCCCCTGGGGCTGCTTCCGGAGGCCACTGACCCCGGGAGGGCCAGGCAGAGCCTTCCCGGAGCCTGGGCTGACACTGCCCCCTTGGGCGCTCCAGGCCGGGGGAGGCTCCAGGTGCTGACCTCCCACCAGGGCCGGCCCTTCCAGGGGCGGAGGCTAGGGCCAGAGGGCAGGGCCAGCAGCTGGGGGCTGCCGGGGGGCACAGCCTGCCTTCTCTCACGCTGTGCGCCCCTGCCCCTCTCTTCCCATTGCCCTGAACCCCAATTAGGAGAAGAGAGGCGTCCCTGGTGGGGTCATTTCTCCACCTCCCCACTGGGCCTTCCTCTCAGCCAGGGACCCTATGCTCTGAGCCCCCCTGCAGAAGCCAGAGAACACCCCCAATGCGCAGACACCCCCGGGCTGGGCAGGGCAGAAGGAGCTCCAGAGGGCCTGAGCCGGCCCCTGGGGACGGTGCCCACCCAGAGGCGCTGGCACCCAGGTCTGGCCCGCCAGGCTGCCCTCCAGGAGCTCTGGCCCCTCCTGGCCCTGCCCAGGCCCCGCCCCGGCTCCTGAGGGCCCCACGGCCCGGGCTGGCGTGCCCCCTGGCGACCCACGGCCCGGAAGGCCGTTCTCCCGACACGTGCCCACAGAAGGGGCGCGGGCAGGCCGGCCGCTGGGCAGACACGCGCTGGGCAGGGTGGGAGAAGCCGTCCTGGGCCTCTGCCCACGCTGGGCAAGGCCGCTCCCAGCACCAAACTGGGTGTGGGCACCAGGGCCTGGGGCCTGCCGGGTCCCTCCTGCTGCCCAGGGTGTGCGGGCCTCCGAGGTGCCCCCGCCCCAGGGCTGCCTCCCCCTCTGGACACCATCTCCCCGGCGGCCGCCTGGGCTGCGGGCTGCGGGCCGCTCAGGACCAGCATTTTCCAGAAACCACCCCTCACGCCAGAGGAGCCCGAGTCCCTCCCGGGGGCTGCCCGGGTGCCCGGGCTTCTGGGCGCGCTGCCCGCCCTGCCCGTTCCCGCTCCCCTGCCCGTTCCGCTCCCCACTCAGAATAAAGCAGAAACAAGCCCGAGCGGCCCCGCCGGCCGCGCCAGGCTGCCCGCAGCTCCCCGGCGCCCGCGGGGGCAGCGAGGGCGCGGCTGGCGGCGCTGGGCAGCCCGGCCTCCCCGGCCCGCGGCCCGACACGCAGCGCGCAGGCTCGCGAGGCGCTTGCACGCGCAGCAAGCACGCCCAGGCGCCCGCTGGCACGTGAGGCGCGCACGACACGCGCAGGCACACGGCGCCCGGGCACACACACGGGTGCACGCACCTGCACACGCGCGCACGCGCTCACAACACACGCTCACACACGCGCGCTCGCACGGAGCTCCGGGCCCGGGTCCCGGAGCCCCACGTCCCGCTGGGCCCACGCCCCAGCCTCCGCCGCCGCCGGGGCGCCCGGGGTGCGGAAGGCGGTCAGCACCGGGGCTCCCGGGTGGACGCCCCGCCCGCGAACAGCTCCTGACCCCGTCCGGCCCGGGACAGGCTGGAGGCCCAGGCGTCCCCGACCGCGGCCCCCCGGCCAGGGTGCTGAGCTGCCGAGGCGACCCCAAGAAGAACCCGTGGCAGCGCGGAAAGCTGGGGGGCACACGTGGGCCCGCGCCCTCCTGCGCCCCGCGCCCCGCCTGCGCCCCGCGCCCCCTGGCGGCGGCTCCGCGCTCCGCGCCCCGCCCCCAGGCCGCTGGGGCCCCTCCCGGGCGCCCCTGGAGGGAGACCCCCCCCGCCCCGCGGGACGCCCCCCTGCCCAGCCGAGCCAAGACCGCAGGCGGGGCCGCCGCCCCAGGGCCTGGCCCACTAGGTCCCCACGCCCCGGAGGGTCCTCGCAGCCCCGGGGGGTCCCCACACCCCGGAGGGTCCTCGCAGCTGGGGGGGGTCCCCACGCCCCGGAGGGTCCTCGCAGCCCCGGGGGATCCCCACGCCCCGGAGGGTCCTCGCAGCTCGGGGGGGTCCCCACGCCCCGGAGGGTCCTCGCAGCCCCGGGGGATCCCCACGCCCCGGAGGGTCCTCACAGCTCCGGGGGTCCCCACGCCCCGGAGGGTCCTCGCAGCCCCGGGGGATCCCCACGCCCCGGAGGGTCCTCGCAGCTCCGGGGGGTACCCACGCCCCGGAGGGTCCTCGCAGCCCCGGGGGGGTCCCCATGCCCTGAGGGTCCTCGCAGCCCCGGCGATGGCTGGAAACAGGCGCTCGCGCAGCCCCACTCCCGAGGCCGGGCGGGGGGGCGGGCGGCTGGGGTGCGGGAGGGTCCGCTCAAACCTGGGGCCGGGTCCGCACGGGGAGCCCCGAAGCCGGGGGCAGGCGGGGCGGGGCTGGGGTGGCGCTGCCCAGGCGAGGGCCGGCCTGGCGCGAGCGGTGTGCCGGCCACGCCTTGGGGCCCACTCGCCTGCGGCCGCCCAGACCACAGCTGCCCGGGACTTTGGGGGCCACCGCCCGCCGTGTCTTCATGACAGGAAAGGGGGACGCGCCCCCGAGCCCCCACGCCCCCCACAGCAGCAGACCCGGCAGCCCCTGCCTCTGCAGCAGCTCGGCCGGGAGGCGCTGCCCACCCACACCCCTGCAGGAGCCACGGGGACCCCACGGGCCTGGAGAACTCACCCCCGCCATGAGGCCCGCGGCCTCCCTCACCGTGGCGGCGGCGCTCAGGAGGGCCCCCAGAATCAGGAGCCCCGCCAGCCCGGTGCCCAAGGAGACGGCTGGGGGAGAGAGAAGAGTTAGGGGTGCCGGACAGGGGGCCCCTGCGTGGGGGCCGGTTCTGAAACCCAACCCCGAGGTGGCCGCAGGGGCGCCGGGGCCCAGGGCCCCACCCCTTCCTGCACTGCTCAGAGGGACCCGGGGAGGGGGTGCCCGGCCCCCCTGCAGCTCTGCCTCCTGCCCGCACTATCTCTGGGGCCAGGACCCCACCCCCGGAACGGCGGTGAGAGGGGCCGTAATCTTATCGGGCCAGGCCGGCTCCGGCTTCCCCTCCAGCCGCCGAGGCGGGCCTGCAGGCTTTGGGGAATAGCGTGGGGGGCTGGGAGGCCCAGGGGAGCACCCACCCCTCCGAGCTGAGCTGCTCCTGCCCTCCTTGTTCCCGTGCTCTCCCCTGAGGGCAGCCGAGCGCCCTGCGTCCCCAGAGCTGCTCAGACCTGTCTGGGGCGCCCTCTCTGTGGGTCCCTCCAGCAGCAGCCCGCAGGCTCACCCGTCCTCAGCCCCTGCGGGTGGGGCCCAGGTGGAGCAAGGCACTGCCCAGGCGCCCGTGGAGCGGCCCCTCTCGCCAGCCCGCCCCCTCCCAGCCCCGGGGCCCCTTCCCCGGCCCCCAGGGCCCCCTCCTTCCTGCCCGCAGGGCCCCCTCCCCGACAGCGGTCCTGCAGAAGCCCACTCACCCCAGAAGTGCGCTGGCCCGTGGGGTGCCCTCTCCCAGGCTGCGCGGCTGATGACGGCAAAGTGGGCCCCAAAGTAGGTGAGGGCTGCCACGGCGGCCACAGAGAGGCCCAGCACCTAGGAAGCAGGCCAGGTGGGCGGCTGGACACACAGATCCGTGGGCATTCCCCAACCCCGCTCAGGCAGCTGGCCCAAGCCCCCCGACTGCGGGTCACTCTGCAGAGTAGGGGCCCCCAGCTCCCTGCAGCCTCCCATGTGTGCCCCCAGCTCCCTGCCAGCCCCCTCCCGCACTGCCCGCTCTCCCCAGGCCCTGGCTGCCCGGCAGAATGGACACTGCCCGCAGGACATCCTGCCCAGAGGGCCACCAGTCACTCCACCGGGGCCCAGCGCATGGCCACAGGAGCAGGGGTGTCAGTGGGGCGGGGTGTGTGGCAGGGGTCAGGGGGCATGGACCACAGTGCCGGGGCCTGGCCCCCCACCTGCCTCTTACCAGGACAAAGAAGCTGGTGACCAGCATCTGGCACTTGGCGACCCTGACTCTGCGCCGAGGCCCCATGGCGGCCTGTGTGCTCCTCGCCCTGTGGTTTCCAGGGGGCGGGGGCTCCCCCTCAGCTGCAGGGGAGCCGCCCCAGAGTCGGTCTGTAGTGGGGCTGGGTGCCCCGGAAGAGGCGGCAGGAAGGGGTGGGGCAGCCGGGCCAGCCCCTGCCACCCGGTGGCCCCTGGAGGGGACGGTAGGAGGAGTGGCTGGGCCGGGGGGCGGGCGCCCTGTGGGGTCTCAGGCCGGGGAGTGGGGGAGCAGAGGGCCCCGGGAGCGTGCGGGGCTCACTCCTCCCAGGAGGCCGGGACAACCGTCCTGAGGGTCGTTCACCAGCAAACACCCCTGGAAGGGCCTGGCGAAGCAGCCTGGGGTCTGAGGCCTCGGGGGCAGGCGGGTCTGCGCGGAGCTGGGCTGGGGGGCGGCGTGGGGGGAGGAGGGCCGTGGGGCCGGGTCGCCTCACCTCTTGTCAGGCGGGTCCTCTCAAGACCTCTGCGGGGCGGGACCCCTGCAGCACGGGGGTGGCCCCAGAAGCCAGGGGACGGGGCTCCGGGGCTGGCCTGTCCCGAGGGCCGGGCGCGCGCGGCCAGGCTGCCGCCTGTTTCCAGGAGGGCCGTGCGCCTGGGTGTGCTCGCGTGTGGGCACCCGCACCTGTGTGTGCACCTGCGCACCGCCCCCGCCCCCGCCCCCCGGCCCTGCCACCCCTGCCCCTGTGGCCTGTCCACCTGCCCCTCCCACCTGCCCCCGCCCCCCCCGTGTGCCCCCCCAGTCTCCACCACTTGCTCCCTGCACTCCCCGCAGTGTTTCTTCTCTCAGCTCTACTTGCCTCCCTGCCTCTGCCTGTTTTCTGTCTGCTGCCTCAGTTTACCCGGACGGTTACCCCGGGGACCCAGGCGGCGGGTGCAGGCCTCCAGCAGGCCCTTCTGGCTGGGAGGTTGCTGCCCTGGGCCAGAAGGTGGCAGCCTCCACCCTCCCAACGGCCTTCGGAGGGAGGCCTGCCCCGGCCGCTCTTCCTCCTCGGCGGGCGAGGCGCAGGCAGCCTGCCCTGACCCGGGCCCTCCCGCCCAGGAGGCGCCCCTGCAGCCCCGGGGGAGGCCGTGCCAGCCGCACCTCTGCAGGGCTGGCTGCGAGGGCTGACGGGCCCGAGTCCGGCCTCCCGCCCTCTGTCCGGATCTGAACTGTCCCCAGCGGCCCAGAGGTCGCAGCCCGTCGCGGCTCAGGGACACTCACGAGCCGAGGGGAAGCGCAGCCTCGGGCGTCTCTCTCACGGCCGGGTCCACTTCGATGCTTTGATTTCCGAGTGGACGTCCTCTGTCACGAGATGGAGACCTCGGCGGCCAGTGATTTTTCGGAAGTTTCCTGAACTGCCAGTTATTGCCCCCCCCCACCTCCCTCGTACCCCGGGCCCTTCCTGCAGCCCCACGCCCTCCGCCCCAGGCCCCTCGCTGCCCATCGGCACCCCGAGCTGATTTCGCACCGCTGCAGCAGGTGCCGCATGAAGGCCCCGCGCCCGTCCCCGCCGGCCCGGCCGCTCATGAGCCCTCGGACCCCTGCCACTTGGCTGCGCGCAGCAGCACCCCGTCGCCCCCCGGCCGAGCAGCGTCCGCGGCATGGACGGGCCCGTCTGCTCAGAGCGCCACGTCCGGCTGCGGAGAGGACGCTGCAGGGCTGCTGGCCGCTGGACAGCAGAGTCTCGGGGGCGGCTCCGTGAGCCTGGGCGGCGGGTCCCGCGGTGCGCCCGTTTCCAGCTGTTCACATTCAGTCACACCCCGCGGCGCGGCCTCGGCTCGGCTCCGCGTCCCCTCCACGGGCCTCTCGGGCGTGGGGCGCCTTCCCGTGGCCCGAGCTGCCTCTCCCTGTCGGGAGGAGGCTGGGCGCCGTCGGGGTGCTGCCCGTCTCCCAGTGTCCGCCCGGTGACCCGCTTCAGGCCCACTGCCCGTTTACTCACCGCGCGGTTCGCTCGTTACCCCTGAGTGGGGCACGCGTGTGCCTCTCGGCGATGCCCGTGTGGGCCGCCCGGCGTGTGGCTCCCTTCTCCCTCTCATGGGGCGACTGAGGTGGCCTTTGCCTGCGTAAGAGCTTTCGGACTTGAGGTCATTCCACTTTGCTTTTTTGCTTTTCTATCCCTTTCCATGGGGTCAAATCTCCAAAATTGTCTTTACCGTCGATGTCGCCGGGGTTTTCTTCCACACACTTGATTGTTGTGGATCTTATAGCTGAGGCTTTGATGTTTCGAATTGATTTTCACGCTTGGAGGGAGAGAGCGGGCCACGTTCATTCCTTGACGAATGGCCATCCCGTTCCCCGGCTTCATTTCTTGAGGAGACTCTCTTCTCCCCTGCCGTGGCTCCTTTACCACGAATTAAACTTGACATAGACACGAATGTATCCCTGGGCGCTCCATTCCGTTCCGTCGGCCCAGGCGTCTGGCTTTATCCCAGCGCCGCCTTGTTTTCGTGACTGCTGCCTCTGGCAGAGTTTCAAGCCAGCAGCACGAGGCCTCTGTTCCCCTCCTCCGTTCCCCGGGATTGCGTTAGCTGGTTAAAGGCTTTCTGGTTTCATATACATTTTAATATTTTTATTCTATTTCTTTGAAGAATTTTGTTGGCACTTTAATGGGAGTTGTGTTAAGTTTACGTGTTGCTTTGGCAGATGATCATTCCGACTCCTGCGCCTCCTCTCCGGGAGAATGGACGCCTCGCCACGTCGCCATGTCACCATTTCCTAGGGTGGCTTTCGCTGTGGAAGTCCCGCAGCTCCTCGGGGATGCAGTTATGAACGGAATTCTTTTCTTTCTTTCTCATTCATCAGTTGGCTATAAAAACCAACAGATTTTTGTGTGTTAGGTGTTGCCACTTGATTTATTCATTGTTTCTAGTAGCTCTTTGGTGGCGTCTACGGTTTCTATATATAGTGTCACATTTTCTGCAAATAATATGGTTTCACTTCTTCTTCCCAATCTGGATTCCTTTTATTTCCTGTTGTTGTCTGATCGCTCTGGCTAAAACCGCTAATACAAAATTAAACAGAAGTGGTGACAGTGGGCACCCTTGTCTCCTTCCTGACCTTAGAGGGAAACGTTCAGTTTTTCACCCCCCCGTATGACACCGGCTGTCGATCTGTGCTCTATGTCTTTTATTGTGTCGAGGTAGGCTCCTTTTATTCCCACCTTCTTCTTCTTCTTTTTTTTTTTTTTTTTTGTAAATATTAAATGGATGGTGAATCTTGTCAAATACTTTCTCTGCATCTATTGATGTTCTCATATGTCTTTTGTCTTCTTGCTTGTTGATGGAATCTATTACATTAATTGATTGACGTGTGTTAAACAATCCTCGCATCCCTGGGATAAATCCCACTTGATTATAATGAATAGTCCTTGTAATGTGTTGTTGAGTTGGATTTGCTAGTGTTTTGTGGAAGATTTCCATGTCAACATTCATCGGGGATGTTGTTCTGTAGAGCTCTTTTTTTGTGCTGTATTCATCTGGTTTTGTTAGGGTAATGTTGGCCGAGTAAATGTATTAGGGACCATTCCCTCTTCTTGGACCTTTAGAAACAATTTGAGCAAGACTGGCATAAGTTCGTCCTTGAAGATTTGATAGAATTTGCTTGTAAAGTCATCTGATCCTGGGCTTTCGTTTTGAGATTTTTTTTTAACATTTATTTATTTATTTATGCAAGCACTGGGCACAGTCAGAAGCGCGGGAGGGTGAGAGGATTCACCAGAGCCAGAGCGGGGAGCAGAGCAGGCAGACTGACGAAGTACACTGCTGAGGGGAGCAGTGGGCGGCAGGAGAGGTCTGCGCGCCATGTGGGACCCTCGCCAGTGGCCGGGGATCGAATCGGCGCTGCAGAGGCTGTGGGCAGCTTCGCAGCCCAGTGCTCAACCGCTGCGCCCCCGGGGAGGCCCTTGAGGAGATTTTTGATTACTGTTTTAATTTCCCTGATTGTGATAAATTTATTCAACTTTTGTTCTTTCCTGGTTTAGTCTTGCTAAGCTAGAAAATTGCCAATTCTTCAAGGCTATCAAATAGCATGTGGTTGTTCATAGCAAGCTCTTCTAACCCTTTGCATGTATGTACTGTGGTGATTTCTCCACTTTCATTTCTGATTCTGTGTAATAATTCCATCTCTCCTCTTTTCTTTGCTAGCTTGCTTAGAGGTTTGTCTGCTTTTGTTTATCTTTTCAAAGAACCAGCTCTTCGTTTCATTGATTTTTTTTGGTATAACCTTTTTGATCTCTCATTTGTTTCTGCTCTTGTATTTTTAGATTTCCTTCCTTCTGCTATCATTGGGTCTAGTTTGTTCCTCTTTTCCAAGTTGCATTAGGTATAAGACCTGTACACATGAAAAGCGAATTCTATGGTATATGAATGATATCTCAACAAAGCTGACCAGCTGGGGATCCTGACATTAGTGGGACAGGACTGTGGTGACCTCCGTGGAGAATACGAGACTCAAGTGAGGACCCTGCCCCTTGCCACTGGAGCAGACAGAGCCCAGCCCGCCCTTGGTAGACAGACAGCAAGCCATCCCCGTCACCAGACACCCATGTGCTCCCCGTCAGCATGAGTGCGAGTGCTCCACTGGTGCTCAGCACGGACACCCCCGCGGCCAGGCTGGAAGCAGGGCAGCCAGCTCTCAATGGAATGAACTAGAAAGAGGGGCTTGCCCCATCTGATACGAAGCTAGATGAAGCTGGTAATAAAAACTGCAGGCCGCAAGGGGTCCCAGCAGAACAGGCTAAAGACAGGGAGGAGGGGAGCTCACAGATGGACTCTGTCTCCATTCACGCCAGGTGAACAGCGGGAAGGGAAAAGCCATCACATGAAAAGATCCACTGACTTTACTGGCAAAAATGATGATCCCTCCAACCCAACCCGAAACTCCCCAAGTTTTCACAGGTAAATGTATCCATGAAGGAATGAAAGTAAAATTATATGAGTAATAACAGGTTTCAAACATCAGTTTGCCACGTTCTCCAGAAACAAGCGCCCCTGGGATTTTCTTTGGGAGGGTGC